ACAGTTGACTTGGAATGTTCTCAGCTGGACCCTGGATACACAGCTAGCTGGTACCAATCACAGGTTTTCACATTTTTAGGCAATGTCATGAATTCCCAGGGTAACCAAATAAGCTCTGTTATGGATTAGAGTCATACCACTTAGCTAAGCAGTTTTAAAACCTTTTTGTTTTAAAGTATAACATACGCACGCAAAAGTGCACACAGAAAATGTACAGCTCACTGATTTTATAGAATGAACCACTATGTAACCACCACCCAGTTGAGAAATAGGACATCGCCAATCTTCCAAAAACCCTCCTCCCCAACTTGGACTCACTACCAAAATTATAACCTCCTACTTTTCTTTCTTTCTTTCTTTCTTTTTTTTTTTTAAAGATTTTATTTATTTATTTGACAGACAGATAGAGCGAGGAGGGAACACAAGCAGGGCGAGTGGGAGAGGGAGAAGCAGGCTCCCCGCGGAGCAGGGAGCCCGATGCGGGGCTCGATCCCAGGACCCTGGGATCATGACCTGAGCCGAAGGCAGATGCTTAACAACCGAGCCACCCAGGCGCCCCTAACCCCCTACTTTTCTAATAGTGACCAATATCCTGATTTTTATGGCCACATGCCTCATCCCCCAGCCCCCATCCAAGCATGCAACTGTAATGTTACAGTTTACTTTTGTCTGGGTTTCTTTGAAACCTCTACTTTTCAGTGTCTGGCTTCACTCACCGAATGTCATGTTTGTGAGATTCGTCCATGTTGTTGTATATAACTTAAGTTTGTTCATTTTTCATTGCTGCAGATTTTTCCATTATGTGGATGTACCAAAGCAACTATACGTTGGTTGCACAAGTGCACTTAAATAGAATGCAAAACCAGACAAAAGGCATCTCTATTTTAGAAATTGTGTTAGTGGTCCTTCTTTGTGGGGGCAGGTGGAGATCGGAAAGGACAGTGATGGAGCTTCTGGGATGCTGTTCTAGTCTCTGTTGGGGGTGCCCATGTTCAATTGAGCTGTGGTAAGTGAATTCGGTAAAGTCACAGGATACAAAATTAATATGCAGAAATCTGTTGCATTTCCATATGCTAATAATGAAGTAGCAGAAAGGCAAATTAAGAAAACAATCCCACCAAAAAGAATAAAATACCAGAAATAAACTTACCCAAGGAGGTGAAAGACCTGTACTCCAAAAACTATAAAGTATGGATGAAAGAAACTGAAGAAGGCATAAACAAATGGAAAGATATTCCATGCTCATGGATTGGAAGAAACACTTTTTTTTTAAGATTTTATTTATTTATTTGACAGAGAGGTAGAGCCAGAGAGCACAAGTGGAGGGAATGGCAGAGGCAGAGGGAGAAGCAGACTCCCCACGGATCAGGGAGCCCGACGCGGGACTCGATCCCAGGACCCCGGGATCATGACCTGAGCCAAAGGCAGACGCCCAACGACTTAGCCACCCAGGCGCCCAGAATGTCCTTCCTTTTTAATGCTGAGTAATATTGCGCTGTGTGAACAGACTACACTTTGCTTATCTGTTCAGTGTGCTCACCTCACCCCCGTCTCTACCTTGTTTTCCTTTTGCCTCAGTTTCCTTGTGCACTTCTGCAGGCATGGTTTGGCAGAGGCCTAGAGAGTCAGTCCATGTCAGAGTCCTGTTTCTTAGTGGTTATGAGACCTTGAGTAACAAGTTACATAACCTCTGTGAACTCCATTCCTTATCTGTAAAATGGATCTGTAGTAATGGTACTTGTCTCTTAGACTTCTCTTGTTAAGTAATCTCCACACCCAACGTGGGGCTTGAACTCACAAACCCATGATCAAGAGTTGCACACTCCACTGACTGAGCCAGCCAGGCGGCCCCATCTCATAGATTTCTGTTAGAGTGAAACAAGGTGGTATATGGAAAGACTTAGCATGTGCCTGGCACATAAGAGGGTTTTGTTGTTGTTTTTTTTTTTTTAAGATTTTATTCATTTGAGAGAGAGAGAGAGCACAAACAGGGGAGACGGGAGAGGGAGAAGCAGACTCCCTGCTGAGCTGGGAGCCCAATTCGGGGCTCGATCCCAGGACTGGAGATCATGACCTGAGCTGAAGGCAGACGCTTAACCATCTGAGCCACCCAGGCACCCCAAGAAGCAACATAGTTAAAATGTCCATATGATCCAAAGCAATCTAGAGATTTAATGCAACCTGAATCAAAATACAAAGAGCATTTTTTTCACACAACTACAATAATACTGAAATTTGGATGGAACCACAAAAGCCCGCAAATAGCTAAAACAATCTTGAGAAAGAAGAACAAAGCTGGAGGTATTACAGTCCCAGATTTCAAGATCTACTTCAAAGCTGCCGTAACAAAAACAGTAGAGTAGTGGCATAAAAATAGACATGTAGGTCAAAGTGATAGAATAGGGAGTCCAAAAATAAACCCACACTTATCTGGTCAATTAATCCTTGACAAAGGAGGCAAGAGTATGCAATGGGGAAAAGACAGTCTCTTGAACAAATGGTGCTGGGAAAACTGGACAGCTACATGCAGGGAAATGAAACTGGATCACTTTCTTACACCATACACAAAAGTAAACTCAAAATGGATTAAAGACCTATATGTGAGACCTGAAGCCATAAAATTCCTAGAAGAAAACATAGGCAGTAATTTCTTTGACAGTGGCTGTAGAAAACATTTTTCTAGAGATGTCTCCTCAGGCAAGGGAAACAAAAGCAAGAATCAACTATTGAGACTACACCAAAACAAAAAGCTTTCACGCAGTGAAGGAAATCATCAACAAAAGGGCAAGGTAACCTGCTGAATGGGAGAAGATATTTGCAAATAATATATCCAATAAGGGATTAATATCCAAAATATATATAGAACTCATGCAACTCAATACCAATGAAACAATCTGATTAAAATGGACAGAGGACCTGAATAGACATTTTTCTAAAGAAGACACACACATGGCTAACATATATGAAAAGATACTCAACATCCCTCATCATCAGGGAAATGCAAATCAAAACCATGAGATATCTCCTGACACCTGTCAGATGGCTAAAATAAAAAATATAAGAAACGCAAGTGTCGGGGAGGATGTGGAGAAAAAGGAACCCTCATGCACTGTTGGTGGGAGTGCACACTGGGGCAACCACTATGCAAAACAGTATGGAGTTTCCTCAAAAAATTAAAGATAGAGATACCATATGATCCAGTAATTCCACTCCTGAGTATTTACCCAAAGAAAATGAAAACACTAATTCAAAAAGATAGATGCATCCCTATGTTAATTGCAGCATTATTTACAATAGCCAAGATATGGAAACAGCCCAAGTGTCCATCAATAGATGAATGGATAAGGAGTCTTATATATACACAATGGAATATTAATCATAGAAAGAATGAGATCTTGCCATTTGCAACAACATGGATGGACCTAGAGGGTGATGATGTTAAGTGAAATAAGTCAGACAAAAACAAATACACATGATTTCACTCATATGTGGAATTTAAGAAACAAAAAAAACAAAGACTCTTAAATACAGAGAACAATCTGGTGGTTGCCAGAGGGGACGTGGGTGGGAGGATGGGTGAAATAGATAAAGGGGATTAAGAAGTACAAACTTCCAGTTACAAAAATAAAAAGTCATGGAGGAGAAGAGTACAGCATAGGGAATGTGGTCAATAAGATGGTAATAACGTTTGGTGACAGATGGTGACTACTCTTACTGTGATGAGCACTGAATAATGTATAGGATTATGGAATCACTATATTGTACGCCTGAAACTAATGTAACACTGTATGTTAATTATACTTCAATTTAAAAAATTGAGCTGTAAAGTTATGATCTGCGCACTTTGCCAGATGTATAATTCACTATGATATAATGTAAAAAAAAAAAAAAAAAAAAAAGCTGATGGACATCCCAGCCAACAACGGCTCTGGAATTGGGGGACATCCCCAGGAGAAAGGCAGCCCTCCCAACTAGGCTCCCAAGGCAGAACCTCTGTCCTTTCTTGGAATTGGGGCTGGTAATTCTTCACTCTTTTGTTAGCTCTCTGGTGCCTTCAAGTGGATGTTTTTTATATTCTGACTGGTTTTTTTAGTCTCCTCAGGAGGAGAGATGGGCTGAATCACCTAGCCTACTTTTACCAGAAGCAGAAGTTATCATAGTAATTCTCTCTGGGTTCTAAATTAAATTGAAATCCTGGATAACAGTAGTCACATCTGTTAATTTTTTTTTGGAAATCTTCATGTTATCGGTGATTGTTACCCAGTGTTATTTCTGAGAAGGAAATGTCTCTTATTGATCACTCAAACATTTATGTTGTTAAAGTCAGATTTTGTTTATGAATTTACTTAATTATGTTAATCCTGAAGGGACCTATTTTTCTACTGAAGTACAATACTTCCAAAATTTTCCTAGTCTGTTCAACTATCTTACTTAAAAGCATGAGACTTATCCTATAAATATAAACCAACCATCAACACAAACCAATAATAAAACATACCTGTCTCGGCTATGGCAACAATAGGAGCTTCCTTAAGCTTTACATTACATTTTAAGCTTTAAAAATCTCCATGGAAAGTGCTTTTCCTTTTTCTCAGCATTTTAATTTGGATATACTTACTTGAGAACCAATGGGTTAAATTGTCCTTGTAGTTCAGATTATTTTATCTACCTTCTTTTTGTAAATTTTTAAAAAAGATTTTATTTATTCATTTGGGGGGGGGATGAGTTGGGGGCAGGGGCAGAGGGAGAGGGAGAAGCGGGACTCCCCGCTGAGCAGGGAGCCATATGCGGGGCTCGATCTCAGGACCGAGATCATGACCTGAACCAAAGGTAGATGCCACCCAGGTACCCCTATTTTATCTACCTTCTTAAAGGAACTTCCTGAGAAGCATCATCTCTGAGTCCTCTTTGGCCAACTCATGGTCACCCTTCTGGTCATTTCCTTTTCTGCTCCAAAAATTTCAAGAGCTAAGACCGACCTTGGATGGCCCCAGCTGCATTTTTCCATTACAAAACACATCCTCCCACTTCCTTTGCCAACATTAGGAGCTCCAGTTAACCATCTGCTCTGATCTCCCAGCTAGCGCAAGAATAGGAGCACAGAGGAGACATGAGAGGGTCCATCACAGGTAAGTGAAGGGAACAGGACACAGCAGATGGGAAAGAAATAAGAAATAACTGAAAGTCCTAAGGACTTGGTTGTTGGGCTTGCATGTAACGGGTAGACAGGTCTTCTCAGTGATGTTCTCCTTCCCACATGTCTACTAAAATGAAGCATCATGGTGGTGGCTATATAATTTATTATCCAAATAGGGACACTTGTGAGGGTGAGACAGTGATGGTATCAGTCATTGCATGAGAACAGTAAGAGTAGACTGGGACATCTTGGCAAACCGGCTATTTGGTCACCCTAGTCATATAGGACTAGCTTGGGAAGTGCTCCTTATGTCATGACCCCTTTCCTGAACCCTACATCACAATTTCACACAGATGCTCCTGTTAGCTTCACTATTTAGACTTGATTTTAGCTGACACAGAGCCTCAGGGTTTTACCTGAGTTCTAGAATAGTGGTTTTCAAATCTGAGATGCACCAGAATCACCTGGAGAGCTTATTAAAACAGAGTCCTAGACCATACCTCAAGTTTCTGATTCCATAGGTCTGGGGTAGGGTCCAAGAATCTGTATTTCTAGGGGCGCCTGGGTGGCTCAGTCGTTAAGCGCCTGCCTTCGGGACAGGGTCCTGGGATCGAGCCCCGCATCGGGCTCCCTGCTCGGCGGGAAGCCTGCTTCTCCCTCTTCCACTCCCCCTGCTTGTGTTCCCTCCCTCACTGTGTCTCTGTCAAATAAATAAAATCTTTTTTTTAAAAAAGGAATTCTGATGCAAAATCATCTGTTTCTGGTAAAAAGGCAGGTAGCTCCGTAGTTCAGGAACAACATTTGCGTGAGTTGGATTGCTTAAAATGTTCCAGGCTAAAAAACATCCCCTCCCACCACTTCAGATGCTAAGAAGGATGTTCCAGAAGGCCAGCTGTGACTAAGCGCTGAATAGAGGCAGCTTCCTTTGAAACATGAGGTCATATCAAGCTGGGCAAATCTAAGAGCTCAAGAAGGCACTGAACCTTCCTGAATGTCAAAATGGTTCAGCTATTTTTAAAACGTTGAGACTTTTATTGATTTGACAGCCGAGATGGGATGAAAGGGGTAGAAAAAGCCTGAAGAAAGGTGTAACTGAGCTAACTTTTTCTGTACCCGGAAGGTTTTTGTTCCATGGCAATTGTCTGAGACTGGATTGTGGCCCCGTCCCACTTCGTGTGTCGTCTTCAGTATCTCAGAATGGCTGTCCTTGGGGATGGGGTCTTTATAGAGATAATGAAGTTAAAATGAGGCCATCAAGGTAGCCCATAATCCAATACGATTGGGGCCCTTAGAAGAAGAAATGAGGACACACACACACACACACACAGGGAAGACCCTTCGGGGACACAGGGGGAAGTAGTCCATCTACATTAGCCAACGCTGTCAACTCGATCTTGGACTTCCAGAGAGTCCAGCAAACACAGAAAACAAACCTGTTTCTGAAACTACCCAGTTTGTGATGTTTCGTTATAGCAGCCCTAGCAAGCTAATACAACATGGAAATGTCATTTTGCATGAGAAGACTCATTTCTTTTTCTACTTCTGTGGAGATGTTCTTCACAAAGTCTGGGTGAGCGCACAATACGCTTCTCCCTTGGTTCAGTTTCGCTATTCCAGAGCTTTCTGGATCTGATCCTCCCCCCACAAGCCTTGGGTATCCCGGACCTCTCTGCTTCTGCTGTTCACCACAAGTGCGGAATGCAGAGATGGTTTTTCAGATACTGGCGCTTAACTCCAAAAGGCACTAAGACAAAGGTCTTTGTCCATCTCCTGTGATCACTGAGGCTCTGAACAGCACTCTGCTGGCCCCTTGCCATTCTGAAAACCCTTCTCAGTGTTTTGCTGCAGGGAGCTGCGAGGCTGCCTCCCTCGGTGATGCTGGAGGGGCTGGAGAGAGGAGCGCCGACCCAGGCTTCAGAAGCCTGTGGGGTGGTAGGTCTGGTGCTCAGTGAGGGGCAAGACTGGAGACCTGTGAGCCCCTATCACACCTTCCTCCCTGCTCTGGCCAGGCTGGGGTGTATATTATTGAGCACTGACCATATGCCAGCCTGGAGATGAATTCTCCCTTCATCCTTATGGTGACCTTCCATCGTGGCTATTATTATACCCATTTTACAGAAAAGGACACGAGTTCAGATGAGAACACTGAGGCACAAAGAGGTGACATAACTTCTCCAAGTTTACACACGCTAGCAAGTAGCAGAGCCAGAAATTCCACACAGCAAATCTTTATTCAGGACCCACCCCACGTCTGCCGCTATGTTAAGTGTGGGAACTACAAGGATAAGGAAAAACCCAGAGCCTTCTCAACATAAACTGGCTGTCTGGTGAGGGAAAATGGTGCAGAAGAACAATTATTACCCTGATGGGCAAAGTGTTCTTTATTCAGTCATGCCTGTGATCAGGGCACAGAAGGGAGGGGTTGCGAATGCAAGACTGCGAAGTTCCTTAAAGTTTTGAAGGGGTGATCGCAGAGCTGAGTTTGGAAAGCTGGCCAGGCCTAGGAAGGGAGCAAGTAGTTTACTGCAAAGGCTAAGAATGGGACCTTAGAGTTGTGCTCCTGGGTTGGATCCAGGTCCAGTACCTAAAAGCAGAATGACCTTGAGCAAGTGTCTCAACTTCTGTCAGCCTCAGTTTTGTCATCTATAAAATGGAAATAACCATCTCATTTTATTTTGAGGATCAAATGAGATCATGCACATTGCCTGAAAAAAACCGTATGTGCTCAATAAATCATAAAGGATTTCCAAAGAAATGAAACCGAAGGACTCATTATATAAATAGGGGAAAGGCAGGGATGAGGCGAAAGAGGCAGCAGGGTCCAGATGATGGGGGGCCATCCCAGGACGCAGGAAATCACGATCCGAGCAGAAATCCAGAGTCATACGCTCAACCGATTGAGCCACCCAGGAGCCCCTCCTCAGCCTCTTCTGCCCCCAGCTTTCAAAGCTCACATCACACTCATTCACAAACAGCTGTTTCTTCTTTAGAACAAGGACTTCCTTGAGGTGTCAAGGGCTAAAGTCCACATTCCTAAGCCCAGTGCCCAATCCATGTAGACACTGCAAAATAAGTTGTTTCATGAAAGAAGACATAGTCAGTGCTTCTCAATGCTCAGACCAACAATACAGGACAAAGCCTGTGATGGTGCAGTGTGCAGTGTTTGGGGACGCCTTCTTAGAAGGTTTCTTAGAAGATATAGGGAACTTTCCACAGAGGTCCTGTTTGGGCTGAGTCTTGAAGGAAAAGCACATCAGGTGGAGAAGGGAGTTTTTTTTAAGGCTGAATAATATTCCAGTGTATGTGTGTGTGTATCTCGCATCTTCTTTATCCATTCACCCATCAGTGAACACTTGGGCTGTTTCCACTTGGCTACTGTACATAATGCTGCATTTAACATGCGGGTGCTGATAGCTTTTCAAATTAGTGTTTTCATTTCCTTCAGATAAATACCCAGAAGTGGAACTGCTGGATCATTGGTAGCTCCATTTTTAATTTTTTAATTACTATTTAAAATAATACTATTTTCCATAGTGGCTGTACCAGTTTGCAATCCCACCAACAGAGTACGATGTTTCCCTTTCTTCATATCCTTGCTAAGCTTGTTATCTCTTGTCTTTTTTATAAGAGCCATTCTTTTTTTTTTTAGGGGGGAGGGGCAGAAGGAGAGGGAGAATCTTAAGCAGGCTCCACGCCCAGCACGAGCCTGATGCAGGGCTTGATCTCATGACCCTGATCAGGACCTGAGCCAAAATCAAGAGTTGGACGCTTAATCGACTGAACCACCCAGGCTCCCCGATAATAGCCACTCTAACAGGTGTGAGGTGATGTCTCCCTGAGGTTTTGGCTTGCATTTCCCTGATTATGACTGATGTTGAGCACCTTTTCATTGTATGTCCTGTTGGTATTCAGGTCCTTTGCCATTTTTCACTGGATTATTTGTTTTGTTTTGTTTTTTTTGCTATTGCGTTTTAGGAGTTCCCTATATATTTTGGAGATTAACCCCTTACCAGAAATGTGATTTGCAAATCTTTTCTCCCATTCCATAGGCTGCCTTTTCATTTTGTTGATGGTTTCCTTCATCATGGTGCAGAAGCTTTTTAGTTGGATGCAGTTGTACTTGTTTATGTGTTTGCTTTTGTGTTGCCTTTGTGTTTGGTGTATAAATGAACTCTTAGAACTGCTTTTGCCCTTAAGGCATCTGCCAACTCTGCGGGGAGCTGTGGTGAAACTGAGTTGCATTTCTGTTCACTGGCCTCACGGCTGGAGGACAGCACTGTAAGTCCAAGGGACACCAACCCCCTACCCCCAACACACATGCTCAGGGTAAGGTGACACCAGATGTAAATCTATGTTCTTTTGGCACAAGGGGCAAGATCCCTGTGAGACAGTAAACCAAGCCCAGGCGTCCTGAGGAATAGTAGACTCAATTTACACCTCAGAGGTCGTACAAGACAGCTCAAGTAGGAATTTAGCTGAAAGCTGTTCTGGTTTTGATGGTGGCCCAGGCATCTGCAGATGGAAACATAGAAGAGATCCAATTTGTTTTAGCCACCTAACAGATGATTAAGTGCTATATCTTCATTTGCAGTTCCCTAATGCCTAAGGATGCTGAACATTTTATAACCTCTGGTGAAGCGTCTGTTCATATATTTTGCACATTTCCTAATTGGATTATCTGGGGGGTTTTGTTTGCTTGTCTGTTTACTACTGAGTTCTTCATATTTTCTAGATAAGTCCTTCGTCAGATATACGGTTTACAAATATCTTGTCCCAGTCTGTAACTAGTCTTTTCATCCTCTTAATGGGGTCTTCAGCAGAGCAAAAATTTTAATTTTGATAAAGGTTAAATTTAGCAATTTTTTTTTTCTTTTATGGAACCTAGTTTCTGTGTCACGTCTGAGAACTGTTTGTCTAGACCAGGGTTTCTCAAAACTCAATTTTCTCAGTTTTGAGAATGTGAGCTAAAAGCAGACACACAGCAGCTCTGTGTCACTCATTTCTCACTTATCTGTTTCCATGGTGATGACCCTTTGGGCAGACTCTCAGAACTCTTAGAACATTCGCACAGCTGCAGGGGGAGATGTTATTCTAGATGCCCAAAGCAGCGGGTTGAGAAGAGCCAGGCTGTCAGCGTGTTTAAAGGAAACTAAGGAGGGGGCGCCTGGCTGGTTCAGTCAGAAGAGCATAAGACTCTTGATCTCGGGGTTGTGAGTTTGAGCCCCACATTGGGTGTGGAGATTACGTAAAAAAAAAAAAAAAGGTAACATAAAGACTCATGATGCTCATGAATGGTTGAGGTGCCTGGTGCCTGGTTGGGGGCCATGCTCGCTCACATGGCAGGTATGTAAGTAGCTCTGTTTGAGAACTTTGGACCCTAAGACTCAAGGGGTCTTTCCTGGGCCAGGACATCTTGGATATGCTCCTGCTGTTTGCACATGGAGAAGGTGTGTCTGTGCTATCCCCGCGGAGAGATTATGAAAGCATGCATTTGACCTCTCCAGCCTTTGCTTATAAACATCTTTTTTCCTGCTGTTCCTGCATTCTGTTCTTCGCTCTACTAAATCTTAACCTTGAGTATAACTTTATGTTGGGGTCCTGTGAGTCCTTCCAGTGAATCATCAAACTAGTTGTGGGACAGGGGTTGTTTTTTTAAAACGAAGAATTCAGTTTTTCAAATGGTTACAAGACTTCAAAAATCATCTATTTCATATTGAGTGAGTCTGGGTAGTTTGTAGTTTTCAAGGAATTGGTCCTTTTCATCCAAGTTGTTGCAGTCATACGGGTAGAGTGATTTAGTGTTCCCTTATTCTCCTTTTAAGGTCTTTGGAGTTTGTGGGAATGGCCAATATTTTATTCTTTGTGGCTTTTTCTTTTGTTTTCAGAGCATCTTTTTGGAAATTGTCTGATGTGACTTCTAACTACGACCCTGTGCGGTAGGCAGGGCAGGCGTATTTATGGGCATTTAGCTGCCAGAGAAACATACCTGCTCAGAGGTGCCTGTTTTAGAACCACATGGACAGAAGATCGCAGAGCTGATATCAGAGCCCTGGGCTCTTGACTCCAAGCTTCTCCGCTGGTAATAAGGTCCCAACTATTCCTCCCACGTAGTTCTGTTGCCTTCCATACCTACCTCTCGGCTCTTTCTTAACTGGTGTTTTTACTCTCTACCTAACCTTCCAGTATCATGCTTTTCCTTGAGTGAATCCTATCTTACAGATTTTCCCCTTAGTGTACTCCTGGCCTTCTCACACTTGGCCTCTCTCCTTTCTCTAGGCCTTAACTTTGCCAGATCGTACTTCCTCTTCTTGGAGATGCCCAACATACCAAGGTCTAACCCAGTGGTTTCCAGCAGGGAGAAATTTGGTCCCCCAAGGGACATTTGGCAAGGTCTAGAGACATCTCTGATTGTCACAACTGGTGAGATGCTACTGGCATCTAGTGGAAAGAGGCCAGAGATGTGGCTAAATATCCTGCCGATGTCAAGACAGCCCCGCCCAGAACAAAGAATTATCTGGTCCAAATGTCAGTAGTGCTGAGGTGGAGAAACCCTGCTCTCATCCCATGCCTGGGGAGGCCTCGTCCAACTCCTGACTGGCTCTATGTGCACCACGCCACCAAGGCTTAAGGCTTTCCATTTCTGGTGGATGACTTGCCAATCCGTGGCTTTGTCAGCTACAAGGAGGCAGAGTGGCTTCCTGCCACACAGCCCCAAGATAGGACTCTAGACCCCTTTGGATTTCCACATTGAATCCATGGAGATGGAATTATTTTGCCGATGTCTCGGTGTTGGGTGTCAAGCCCCACAGCCCCGCTGGGTTACGGCCTCATCCACACAGAGACTGGTGCTGGTCCGAGACTTCAGTGGAATGTTGGGAGTGGCAAGTGTCGTGGGGATGATGGTGGTGACTTCTTTCCCCAGGCATGGGAAATCTATTGGTTGCCCATCATCAACTCACTGGTGGGTCTTGTGGTTGTCTTTCACATGTGTGTCTTTTGTAATGACCTGGCTGGGTACAACTTGGATGAGGAGGCGACCTCCCGAGGTTCTGGTGATGGTTTTGACCATGGTGACAATGGCTGGAAAATCATCCATACGGATGTCCTCTGCTTCCCTCCATACCATAGTTTGCTCTGTGCTGTGCTCAGCATGGGTGCCCAGTTCCTGGCCCCTGGCACTGGTGGAGGTGATAAGAATCAGGGATTTCGGGGCGCCTGGTGGCTCAGTCGTTAAGCGTCTGCCTTCGGCTCAGGTCATGATCTCCAGGTCCTGGGATCGAGCCCTGCATCGGGCTCCCTGCTCAGCGGGGAGTCTGCTTCTCCCCCCCACCCCCGCCTCTCCCCACTGCTCCTACTCTCTCTCTATCTCTCTGTCTCAAATAAATAAATTAAAAAAAAAAAAAAGAATCAGGGATTTCTCTCAAGGGGTAGAAATAAGTAGATAGCTTGTTCAGAAAAGGTTTACAGATCTTCTTTCCAAGGTGAGGGGCAGACCTAAGGGGTGGGGTGGCTCTAGTGAGGATGAGTATATTCTATTGTAGGTTTTCTGGACAATAGAATTGGGGAGATTGCTCTGCTGCAGGCCCTGGGTCTGGAAGAAAGGGGACTGATTCCTCTAAAACATATTAGAAGAGGGATAGGTGAGCCCTAACACAGGCTTCTTGGTGCTACTCTACAGACATCATTATCACGGCACTGCTGGGTATGTTCAGTGGATATCATCATGCGGCCATTAACTCGGTGCCATCTTGTTGTATGCCCCGACCTGCTGCCTCTCTGGACACGTGTCCAGCCACTTCTATTGGCAGATCAGAGTTGAATGGTGGATGTGGAATGTCATTCTCACTACTATCCTCTTCTCTGGGGGAGACTTCCCTTTCCCTGGTGGGCCAGCCTAGACTTAGGAACTTAGAACACATCATGGTACCTGTAATAGAGTCAGAGTGAGGTTTACTGCCCGGACCCTCACATGCCTGTTTCCTTGTCCTAGCTCTGCCAATTCTTGGTCATCCAATGATTTCTTCTTGATATTGATAATTTGTGTCTTCCTTGTCTTTTCTTTATTGCCCTTGCTAGAGGCTTATCCATTTCAGTGATCTTTCAAAGAACAGCTTTCTGTTTAATTGCCTTTGTTGTTTTTATGTCTTTTATTTTATTGATTTTGGTTTGTATTTTTCCTACCTTCTGTGTTACTTGGGTTTATTTTCCTTTTCTTTTTCTAGTTTCTCATGGTAGTACCTTACATTATTGATTTGAGCCCCTAACATGAACATTTAGTGCTGTGAATTTCCCTCTCAGACTCTTTTGGCTATGTCCCACAAATTTTGATATGCTGCATTTTCATTCAGTTCAATGTGACCTATTCCTTTGAGACTTCCTCTTTGACACATGGATTATTGTGTGTGTGTGTCCATGTGTTTGGAGAATGTCCTGCTATCTTTCCATTACTGATTTCTAGTCTGATTCCACTGTGGTCAAAGTTCACATTCTGTATGATTTCAATTCTTTTGAATTTGCTGAAATTTGTTTTCAGGAAATGGTCTACCTTAGTGAATGCCTCATGCGCACTTGAAAAGAATGAGTATTCTGCTGTTCTTGGGTGAAGTAGTCCTATAAATATCGATTAGGTCCTGTTGGATGACAGTGTTGTTCTATATCCTTGACAATTTTCTGACTAGTAATTCTGCCTACTGTTGAGACATTGGTGTTAAAAGTCCTCAACTATAATTGTGGATTGGTCTGTTTCTCTTTTCAGTTCTACCAATTTTGCTTCATGTATATTAGAATTCTGTTGTTTGGTCCATACATATTTAGGACCACTATGCCTTCTTGGTGGACAAATCTTTTTATCAGGATGTAATGTCCTAGAGGCTGCTGGGAAGATGGCAGAGGACGACGACCCTGGGCTCACCTCTTGCCGCGTGGCCACCTAGACAACACCCACGTCGGCATAAATAACCCAGAAAGCAACCTGAAAGCTGGCAGAACAGACTCTCTGCAGCCTGGCAGAGACAAGAGGCCACAGTGAAGCAGATCCACCCCCTCCGATCGCTCTTGGCAAGAGCCCATCAAAGCAGTGCCATAAGCCTGGCAGTGTGCACGCAGCCCAGCCAAGGATCAGCGCCACTCCAAAGTGAGTCCTGCTCCAGGGAGAGGAGAAGATAAGCACACACCAGTCTGACTGTGACCCTAGCAGTGGGCTGGGGGCAGGTAGTTGGTCTGACTGCAGGCCCCACCCACCAACAAAAGCTTCTCAGAGGACAACACAGGGAAAGTGCCTGCAGTTTGGTGCTACTTCGTCTCTAGCAAATGCCTGGTCTGACTCAACTCAAGCCCAAGGCAGCCCCGGACTGGCCCACTAACACCACGGGCACCAGACTCTGCCCACAACAGGCAGAGAGCCATCGCAGGCCACACTGAAGGCAAACACACCCCAGCCACAATGGTAGGACCCCCCTGGAGAACACACGTATAGGAGACACCCCCTGAAGCACCATTTTCTGGTGAAAAGGAGACCTTGCGCTGCAAGACCTCTTCTTCATAAAGCCATTACTTTCAAGTGTGGGAGACGAAGCTGCCTTTCCTAACACAAAGAAACAGATACAGCAATAGACAGAATGAAGAGACAAAGGAATATGTCCCAAATGAAAGAGTGGAACAAAATCAGAGCAGGAGACCTAAGTGAAATGGATAAGTAATATGTCTGATAGAGAATTTAAAGTAATGCTCATAAAGATACTCACTGGACTTGAGAAAAGAGTGCAGAACCTCCATGAGACCCTCCACCAAGAGATAGGAGACATAAAAAAGAACGAGTTTCACTAAATGGAAATAAAAATAGACCACCTGGAATAAATAGCAAAGAGGAAGTAGAAGAATGGATCAGCCACCTGGAGGACAGAGTAATGGAAAGTAATCAAGCTGAGCAGATGAGAGGGGAAAAAAAAATACACAGAATGAGAACAGACCCAGGGAACTCAGCGACACTGTCAAGCATAACAGTCACATGATAGGGATCCCAGAAGGAGAAGAGCAAGAAAAGGGGGCAGAAGATTGTCTGAAGAAATAATAGCTAAAAACTTCCTGAATCTGGGGAAGGAAAGAGAAATCCAGATCCAGGAGGCACAGAGAGCCCCCCAACACAACCAACCCAAAGAGGTCTGCACCAAGATACAAAGTAAATAAGATGGCCAAAAGTAGTGATAAAGAGAGAATTTTTAAATCAGCAAGAGAAAGGAAAGCAGTGGCAAACAAGGGAAACCCCATACGGCTATCAGTGGGTTTTTCAGCAGAAACTCTGCAGGCCAGAAGAGAATGGCATGATAAATTCCAACTGCTAAAAGGAAACAAATCTATAGCCAAGAATACTCTATCCAGCAAGGCTTTCATTTAGAATAGAAGGAGAGAGAGAGTTTCCCAGAAAAACAAAAGTTAAAAGCAAAACCAGCCACGTCCCTGTCACAAAAGATGCCATCGGCCTGTGGGTCCCAAATTCACAGTCCAGCTGCCCTTCTGCCTGAGTCATCATGCATGGCCTGCCACCTGCTCAATGCCAAGTCAACACGCCTTCACCTCAGATTGCCAAGGATTCAAACTGGCACTCTTCCCCTCAAATTCCATCCCCTGTGCTCAAGTTTGTGCACAAAAGTGGGCATAATTATAACAGCAGAATGAAGCATCCCAAACAGTGACACTATTTCTGTGGAATACAGAATGGATAAAAGGAGTGTGCTAGGCTGAGAAGGTCTCTAACAAGCACATCAAAGAACAATACATACAGCATGATTCTGGTTAGTAAAAAAAACAAACCCGGGAAGAATAAAACAAGATGAAATCAGAGAGGGAGACAAACCATAAGAGACTCTTAAGCATAGGAAAGAGGCTGGGGGTTGCTGGAGGGGAGGTGGGTGGGGGGATGGGGTAACTGGGTGATGGGCATAAAGGAGGGCAGGTGATGGAAGGAGCACTAGGTGTTCTATGCAACTGATGAATCACTGAACTCTACTTCTGAAACTAATAATACACTGTATGTTAATTGAATTGAAATAAAAGGACCCCCCTCCCAAAAAAAGGATGTAATGTCCTTCTTCATCCTTGGCAATTTTCATTGCTCTAAAGTTTACTTCATCTGATATTAACATAGCCACTCCTGCTTCCCACTGACTAATGTTTGAATGGTGTATCTTTCTCTATCCTTTTACTTTCAGTCTACATGTATCTTTATATTTGAGGTGAATTTCTTATATACCGTATAGAGTTAGATCATGTTTTTAAATCCACTCTACCAATCCTTGTTTTTTTTTTTTTTTAAGTGAGCAAATGGCCACCAGGAACTCCACCCTTTGATTCTCCTAGTTTAGCAATTCCAGAGCACAGAACATGCCTCTCTCCTTGTAGCTCCAGCAGCCTTCCCAAGGAGGCCTCTCATTGCCCTGGCCCTATTCTTTGTTCTTAACTAGTAGATTTATACCATTTACATCTAATGTAGTTTTGGCATGTTAGGGTTTAAGCCTGCCATTTATTATTTGTTTTCTGGCTTTCATTCCTCTGTTTTCTTTTTCATGCTTTTCTCTGGTTGCCTGAACAATTTTTATAATTCCATTTTCATTTATCTATACTGGTTTTGAGTGCATCTCTGTAGTGTAAATGCTTGATACAAACTTCTGATTGCTGTGGCATCCATTTCAAAGACCTCCATCTTGAATTAACATACTGCTGGGTGGTTGGCACGGTGCCAGCAAAATAACTAGTAAGGAATGAGGCCACCCCCACCCATGAAGTTCCCCTTACAAAGAGCCCCGAGTAACCTAGATTAACCGACCACTTGATTGATCTCATTTCTCCCTTCCCGTGCCCTAATTCCTCCTCTTATGCCATAAATTTGCTAATAAAGAGTGTACCTGTGAAACTCTACGTACCCCACCCTCAGTCCCTAATAAAGGCAGAGCCCTAGGTCTTTTCTCTCTCTCTCTTGACCCAGAACTTCATGTGTGGCCCTGGGGTGTGTAATAAACCATGTTCTTCAAAGTTCCCCAATGGTTTTGCTGAGGTGCATCCTGAAATCATAGTAAGAACCACAAGGGCTGGCCCAGCCACAGCACCGGCCCTGGTGCTGGTGGAAGGAGGGACATCTGTGGGGCTCAGGCATTCCTAATCAAGAACATCACTATCAATGGGCTGGGACTGACACAACAAAGTCTTTGTATAGTTTTTTTTTTGTTTTTCTTTTCCCCAGTGGTTGCCCTAGGTGTTTTACATGTGTAACTTACTCCAAAATCCTACTGGTATCAATATTTTTAACCATACTATCTCCATTTAGGTCTCTGTACCCACGCACCCCCATTTAAAATTGCCTTACGGATTTCTTTTCCATACAATGAATGCCACGTCAGGCAACGTTACAGTTTTTGCTTTAGCTATTAGACATAATTTCAAAAACTCAAGAGGATAATAGTCTAATATGTTTGCCCATAATTTTACCATTAGCATTATTCTTCTTAATTCCTGATGTTCTCTCCACCCTCCAGAGTCTTCCTCTATTCGTATTAGACATTATGTCCAGGGTCTGAGCTGCACTTTAGTGAGAAGAGAGAGAACTGCATCCATGCCATCTTGTCTGTAACCGCCATCAACCTCTTCTAATACTTGATATTTTTAGCCTATTTTTATTTTATTTATTTTAAAGATTTTATTTATTTATTTGACAGAGAGAGACACAGCGAGAGAGGGAACACAAGCAGGTGGAGTGGGAGAGGGAGAAGCAGGCTTCCCACTGAGCAGGGAGCCTGATGTGGGGCTTGATCCCAGGACCCTGGGATCATGACCTGAGCCGAAGGCAGACGCTTAATGACTGAGCCACCCAGGCACCCCTTTAGCCTATTTTTAAATAAAACTTTCATTTCAGAGTAGTTTAGTTTTACAGAAAAGTTGCAAAGATAGTGTAGAGTTCCCATATATCCCAGTTTCCCCCATTAACACATCTTATGGTATCTTTGTTATAACTAGCGAACCAATATTAATATATTATTAAATAAAGTTCACCCTTGATCTAATTTCCTTAGTTTTTACCTAATGTCTTTTTCAAAATGTTCCAAGATCCCATCCAGGATACAGCACCCCGTTTAGCTGTTATTTCTTCTCAGGCTCCTCTTGGATGTGACAGTTTTCTCAGACTTCCCTTGTTTTTGATGACCCTGAGAGTTTGGAGGAGTCAGGCATTTTGCACAAGGTCCTCAATTGGGATTTTCTGATGTTTTCACTGCATTAGACTGGAGTAATGGGTTTTGGGGACAAAGACCACAACGGTGGTAAAGGGCCATTGTCATCACATCATATCGAGGGTACATACATCAACAAGCCTGATCACTGTTGACACTGACCTTCATTGCCCGGCTGGGGTGGGGATTGTTGGGCTTCTCCCATGTAAAGCAGCTACTTATCACCCCCCATCCCATGCTGTACTCTTTGGAAGGAAGTCACTATGTGCAGCCGATATAGTTTCTTTCTTTTTTTTTTTTAATTTTACACTTATAGTAATTTCCCACAAATTCTGACTTATTGGAGGAATTAATCTTCCCTGGACCCATATTTTTCCAAACATTTCATTTTGTTTATTACACCAATATGAAGCATTTATGCGGCAAAGCAAAGATCAAAGGCATGATTCCAGAGACTGTTTCTCTTAATACTTCCATGCACTCAAAACTAATGTCCTAATTTAGAGGCCTTTCAATACTATCATAGCCATTTCTAGGAAAAACCTAAAAATCCTACGCAGCTGTAAGGGGAATGGAATTCTTCTGAATGCTTGTTTTGTTTCAGGGAAATTTATCAGAAGAAACAGAATCAGTTTCATTTTCTCTGGAAAGTTTACCTTAAAAAGAAACTTGGATCTTACACATCATTTCCTCATGAATCTCCTAAATTCCCAAAGGGAAGCACATTTGTGAATGCTGTATTTGTCCTTTTGACACAGATAGGTCTATTTTTAGACTAGGCAGACAGACTGGCAGAATGGTTTGTGCTTTGTATAGACTCTACAGCACACGGAGGCCTGTGACATTATTTTTTAATTTATTTTTTTATTTTTTTATTTTTTTAAATTATATTGATTGACTTTCAAATGTGAAGCCAATTTTGCATTATCTGTGATGAATCTTTTTTATTTATTTATTTATTTATTTATTTGAGACAGAGAGAATGAGAGACAGAGAGCATGAGAGGGAGGAGGGTCAGAGGGAGAAGCAGACTCCCCGCCGAGCAGGGAGCCCGATGCGGGACTCGATCCCGGGACTCCAGGATCATGACCTGAGCCGAAGGCAGTCGCTTAACCAACTGAGCCACCCAGGGGCCCGCCTGTGACATTATTATCTTGAGTCCCCATATGCCTACGGCGTAGGACTTGGAGCATCATGTTGCCCTTTTATATTGCTAAAGACCATCCTAAGTTTTGTTTTTGCTTCTATGATGTATTTGTCAGAACCGAAACTTGTTTGATGTTGAGTTTCTGGATATGAGTAATTATCACGAGAAAACATGACTCTTGCTTACCAAATGGCTCCAAGAATACACTGCAGAGGAAAAGGGGAGATTGCTCAAACTAAGGATATTGTTAGAATGTTCTCTGTATGCAGGAGGCTCTGTACAGTCTGACATCATGGAAATCTCTAAGTGACTACCGCCAACCCCCACTTATTCACCTTAGTGTCATGTGAGAGTTCTGGAAAAGAACAATGAGGCAGTAGCCTTATCAGATAGGAAAACAACTTATAAAGAAAAAGAGTCAAAATAATTATGTATCAGACAAGGTACAGAAATAGAAATTCAAGAAAAAGACCCACATTCAAATGGGAACTGAACCCATAATCACAGTGGCATTTCACAACGGCTGGGAAAAGGGAGCTATTCCCCAGACGGTGCTGAGAGGTGACTGGGGAGGGGAAGATCCGGACCTTCACCCCCAGGCCTTACCTCAAGGTAAATTCCACGGGGATCCAAGATTTTATCATAAAACAACAAAACTATGAAGTACCAGCAGGCAGAAAGGATTAACGTTTTAACAGCTCTGGAGTGGGAAAAGTATGAACATGCAACATTCAGAAGCCATACAATAAAAATGGGGTAATTTGTTTGGCTTAAAAAACCCCACAAACTCAAGAGACATTTGGAAGGATGGCCACGAGTCATCTGACACGTGAAGGGACAATACCTTCAATGAATGCAGAACTTTTGCAAAAGGATCAAAGAGAAAGGTGAACAAAATTAAAACGTAAGAGGCAATGAACACAGGGAAAGATGCCTAGCCTAACGAGTCACTTTTCATTGCCTAGACTAAACAAACTGAAAATTCCAGAGGTGAGAAGTTCATGGCCACAGGGAAGGGGCACCCTCCTTCACACCTCCCAGGATGGCTGCTGCGCCTTCGGGCGGCACCTCCCAGATCCGCGAGAAGGAGAGGGGCAGGCAGGGAAAAGGCAAAAGGTTCCTGCTCCGGAGTCCCCCACTTTAATGAGTTCTCGTGGATGCCCAGTTCTGCTTACATCTCATTTGCTGGCTGCACGGCGGCAGTATGGGGAACGTACTCATTTTTAACTTTCCTCCTAGAAGGCGCACAAGTCCTAAGGATCCCACTTAGGGATCTTCACAAAGTGAACACATCAATTTGACCAGCATCCAGATCAAGGAACAGAGTGGGAACAGCCTCCTTGCAAGACCCCATGTGCTCCCTCCCGGTCACTAGGGAAGGTAATTTTAATGGGTACATTCTCAGTGTGACCACAAGAGGGTTCGTTAAGAAAGAAAAAGAGAATATAAGTAACCAGCCATCTGTCACAGCCATCATTTTCTAGATTCACCCAAAGGCACTCTGACTTTTAAGTCTTCTCCCCAAATTTTATACTCTCCGCTCAAGACATGTTCTGGTTCTTTGAGAGAGAATGGCTGGGATTTACATTTGCTGGGATTTTATATTGTGAGGCTGGGACCCAGAGCAAGCGGGCCTTGAGCAGGAACTTTCTGCAGCAGTAGACTCATAGGTGAATGCAGTGAGGAGGTCCCTATCAGAGGACGAGCTGGCCCCCAAGCATGGAGAGAGATGTGACTAGGGAGACAACCCAGAGAACGACCAGGGACCCCATCCCATGAATGGGATGAAGATGGGGATAAGGTGCAATTCTGTCTGTATCTTTTAGAAGTGAGAAGACCCCCAAATATATGTGGCCAAATCTTAGAAGTCAGAATTTATTCAGGATTACAGTATTTGTATTGGAGAGAGACCTTGCATTACAAATACAGGCGATTTTTGCTGGGGCTCCCATCCTCCTGAACACTGAAACATTCATCTTAGGGAAAGCCCGATCTGTGGAGGCCTCTGCAAGCATTCTAGCACCTTCCTAAGCCACAGGAACTCTACAAATGCAATAAATGTGAAGGCTTTTGGGAAAGCAGAGCTCATTCAACGTCAGAGAATTCACACTGGAGAAAAACCACATGCACGTAATGGATGGGAAAATGCTTTTAGACCGTGCTCACAGCTAATTAGACTTCTGGGATTTCAGGGCAGGGAGGAGCTCTGTAAGCATAATGGATGAGGAAGAACCTACAATCCCAGTTCCAGACTCAGACAATATCAGCTAATTTAGTTCGGACTTGAGCCGGTCATATGTAATGAATATGGAGAACTGTCTAGGGGAAGCGTGGAGTGGATTGAACCTGAGATCATTCATCCTAGAGAGAAGCCTGTGAGCCTAATCGGTGTGGAAAATCATGTGGTGACAGTGTAGCCCTTTCTTATCATTGGAGAGTTCACGGGAAAGACACTCTCGTGTTGTACAGACTGTGGGAGAGCGTTTAATCCATAATCAGGCAAATTCATACTGGAGAAAAAACCCTGATTACCAAGGAGGAGGAAAAGCCTTCAAGTTCTTTTCCTTACTGGATTTCAGAGAAACCTTCATGGTGTACGGGCCAACTGTGGGGGTGGGGGAATTCACGGTGTATTAAGCATCACAGTGAAGCATTAATCACATCAAAGTAGGAGGTTACCCTTTTTGCTTCCTCCATCCCAAAGCTTTCATTCATTTCTCTGATGAGGTCAGGAATTTTTTGTGTGTGTCTTTAATGACTAATCTTCCTAATAGTATCATTGCTTTTATAAGTTTAGCTTGTAATTCTACTAGGTGTTCAGTACTTCTACTGAGTGAGTGAAGTAACGCAGTGGGCAAATGTCGGGGTTGACCTGGTTTTGGCCTTTGGGGGCAGAACTCCTAAGATACGCAGGGTGCATAAGAGCTGCACCCAGAGGGACGAGGCTTAGTGGCAGAGTCTGCTGGTAACTCAACCGTGTTTGGCCCCCATTCATTTGATGAACTTCTACAGGCCACATGTTTCTACTACTGATGATGTGGGGATGGGAAATGGGTTGGTGAGACTTTTCTCAAGTTCTGAATGCAATGAAATATTCGTAGGATCCATGAGGAGGATGTCAGATTATCTTTGTTGTGTACCTGAAACTAGAAATCGAAAGAGGAAGGCCTAGAGTGCTCAAGTTCAACGTCTCATTGCACAAGGGAAGGGAGGACCACACATTTTCTTATGTTGTGTTGAAGAAGCACCCCCGTCCCCACTGCTTGGTCAAAGTTGGGGCAGAAGAAAGCTTAATCTAGTCCTTATCAACAGACGGCTTTCCCCCCTCCCAAGGGAACCAGGATGATCCCCAGACCAGAATTCGAAGCTTCAATAAGACATCCTTGCCTCCCACTATCTTTACTCTCCAGCTGAGGTGAAAGAGATTCAGATCTTGAGCATTTCTGGCTCCTGGCTTTGCTGAGAAGACAGGAAGAAAGGGTGGAGAGAGAGGGAGAGGTGGAGAAGAGACAAAGAATGAAGCACATGGGAGCGCCTGCACGCAGGCAAGGGCCACAATTCAGGCCCTGTTCCTAAAAGGATCTAAAATGTCAGGAAGGCTGGCTGGAGAGTTAACGAAAGGCCTCGTTTTCCACCAGTTTAATTCTAGTTGCTGTAAACTCCTCCCAGCCAGTACTTGGCACTTGTGAAATCTTGCTGTGGACCCTGGCCTCCCACAGAAGTGATCCAACCCACCCGCCATTTGTCCATTCCAGCTTGCTGCTCCTTCTGTGTGCTTTCCATGGCTTTCTGGCCCATGCTTAGGCTCTCCCCCTCTCCCCTCACTGCACTTGTTCATCCCAAAATTCATCATTGAGCCCCATTTTAGAAGACTCATGCTCATGTATCTAGAACTTTCCTGAATCTACCTTTCCTCATTTGCGTCCAACAGGCCCTGGGAGTTGGGACTAGGTGCTGGAATTGCTCTGTAGGCTGTGAGAAATCTTGACTTGTATTTCCTACCACATAAGTTAAGATTTCCACTGTTTAAATTTGTGGTGATTTCTCATTTGGATCTAAACCAAGAGCCATGGGGCTCTAAGGAGTTGATGACGGACAGGTTCAGAGGAGTGCTATACTGGCTAAGAATGTCTTAGCCTTCAAATAGCAGAAATCTGCTTAGAAAATAAAGACATTTAATTAATGTATCAATAAGACTGGAAGTAGGTGGTTCCAGGATAGGTATAGTGGCTCAACGATGTCATCTAGGACCCAGGCTCTTTTTGTCCGTCTGCTGGGCCAACTTTGGTACGTTGGCTTCTTCCCTTGATCTTGTTGCCTCATGGTCCCAAGATGGCTGCTACAGCTCTAAGTATCACATCCTCAAACATCCATGTCCAAAGCAGGAAGAAGGGCCAGGCCTCTTCACCATCCTTCATCAAAAAGCAAAATTCTTCCCAGAAGGACCTCCAGCCCATTTCCTCCTAATTTTTATTGGCAGATTGAAGTCACGTGGCCCCCTCTAAGCCAACTGACAGCCAAGGGAATAAGGAACAAGTTTGTTGCAGTGACTCACATGGGCCAGGCGGGCCCAGGAGCTCTGGGACACCAGGGCACCTCTGGGACTGGCTCCACCCCCAGGCTTTCATGGGTCCCAGCTCTGCTCCGGCCATCCCCTCCTTTCTCCCATCGCCAATGACAGGCTCATGGTTCCCTCCACTCGGAGGTCTCTCCATGTCACGGCTTGTTTTTCTTCTATCTCTACGTCCCTTCTTCAGCCTCATTCAGGCCAGCACATCGGCCCATCCAAGCCCTACTTGCCCTCACGCTATCCTGTCACACACACACTGTGCCGATACAGTCTGATGTTTTGGTTTGAGTTTCCCCAAAGAGGAATCCGACTGGTCTGACTGGTTTTCCTTATATTTTTGAGCCAACCAGGTGATTTCAAAAGTCACTGGTCAGCTTCCACTGGATCCTGGCCCAATGGGCAAGGTCATGTAATACAGTGGGGGCCAAATGTGGCAGCTCCCCACAGATGGGGCTCAGGGCAGGACAGGTACCATGGACAAGGAGGAGCATGGACAGTGGCTTTGCGGAGCCCGGAACAACAATGTAAGGAGATGAAGTTACTCTATGAAGAGAGGCCATTAAAGGAGAACATGGAAGCATCAGATGCACGAGTGAAAAAGTCATTTTGGACATTTCCACCCCATTTCAGTGGATGTCACGCGAAAAAGAGGGGAGGGATCCTGCTGGCAGACAGAACCCAGGGCCCCACACTACGGCCAGTCAGACCACCTTAGCCAAATCCAGCCGTTTGGGCCTCTTGGGTCGAGGACCAGACACAGTGGAGCAGAAAGAAATTGTTCCCGCCTTGCTCTGCCTGATGACCTGACTCACAGAATGGAGAGCAGAAATCACAGATTCTTGCATCTGCCACGCCTCAAGACTCTCCCCAAATTCCCACAGCAGAAATTCCAGTGACTGCTGGGAGTGCGGAGGATGTCGCTCGTGAACCACAGGGATGGTCGGGAGGTTCAGCCCCCACTCGACCTGGCCTCTCAGAAACTACTGAGCGGCTCTGACGGGCCGCGGAGGGGGCTGTGGAAGCAAGACCATTTCAAGGTGGCTGTGCCATTGAGACGCAGCGTGGACTGAGGATTCTGGCGACGCAAGGAAAATTCCCGCAAGGCAAGAAGCAGCGCCTTAAAGCCCGAGTGATGGGCAGGCCTAGGCCTGGACGTGAAGCCTGCTCCTCCCCTCACTCGCTGCCCGCCCTTGGGCAAGTTATTTAACCGCTCTAAACCTTATTTTCTTCATTCGAACATGAGGACAGGAACATGCTACTTCCCGGGGCTGCTGGGGATTCAGCGGGGCCCTGCGTGGGAAGCCCTTGGCCGTGCGGGCACTAAAGGCAGGCTGTGCTGGTTAGAGCCTCACGCATGCACCGAGCAGCCTCAGAGGCCCCCCGTGAGAACGGCCGCTCAGCGAGCATCCAAGAGCCTGACGTGGGTGCTCTGGATGGGGGGCTGTGAGGACGGGGGGGTGCCTTTACATACCATGAAGCCCTTTACAGCTTTCCTTCTAGACCTGGCTTCTCGAGCTATTTTCTAGAAGCCTTTGGAGTTGCTTCTTAGGAAGAGCCTTGGCCCATTCCCTACGAGTGCGGAGCTGAGAGCCACCTGCCCCCTCCAGCGCCCTGCTCCCCCCACAGCCTTCACTTGATCATCTATTTCGACCTCCTCTACCTGTTTGCAATTTCTGTTCAGTCGGGTCTCTGGGTGGTCATTAGGGGAAAAATGTGAGGGAGCGTGCTGGAGACCCACTGTAAATGACACTCCAGCTACCAACAGCCAAACCCGGAGCGCGGACACCTGGCAGTCAGCGGTGGTCCTGCCCAGAGACAACTGCGTGGGCACGAAAGCCCCTGGTAAGCACACAAAGAGGCGGCTGGCAAGGGCCCTCCCTTCCCCTCTCTCCTTAACCCTTGGTGACCTGCTCACATCTCCACCAGCTTCAAGGTTCAGCTGTTTGGAAGCAGCCCCCGGCTCCTAGGAGATGTGGTTGGACGGGCAGTGCCAGCCCTCGGGACCAGCTCCTACTATCTGGCCTCGAACATTTTTAACTCACTAGCCTTAAAAGAAAGCAGCAGAGAGCTCCAAGGCTCTATAAAACCCTCGATGTTACACAGGATTTGTCCCCTTCCCCTGCCCCCCCCCCCCCGACAGGGATTCTGCAGCTTACAAAACACACAAGGGGGCACCGTCTGCATTTTGTGCTGAGGACCCAGGACTTCGCCATATACCAAAGGGAGGATGCACTCATTGGGGCGTGGGGGGCCCGGGGGCGGACACTTGAGGACAGTCACTAACATCTGAACTCGGTCCCTCCATGAACTCCCGGGCTGCTGGTAACTACAGAAGCACTCCCCTACTCCACGCCAGGTGAAGGCTTTCTACGTGCCAGGTGCTAAGCCAGGCGCCGTGGAAACAGAGAGGCTTCAGACCCAGGCCGTGTCCTCAAAGAGCTGCGGGTTCATGCTGAGGGTGGTCCCTACGCCAGCCAGAGTTACCCAGGACACTGCATGGACAGCTCTGCCACAATACCGATCACTTGCTTGCCCCCCGCCTCCCCCTCCCTGAAGTCACTCCCAGGATTGGCACCGTGCATGGCTGGCCGCAGGGAGAATCTGGCTGGCCTGCCTGGCGTGGGCGGGTGTCGGGGCCAAGGAGTGGCAACAAGGACGAGATCACCTTCCTCCTGCGTGACCTGGAAGAGTGCGGCAGCAACCGTCCCCCGAGAAGGCAGGCCACGTCTTCGGTCACGGGCTCATCTCTGCCCACGACTGCGCGGAACCATAAATCCGTTGGCTTCGACCGCAGTGGCCACAGCCGCACCCGGTCTCCAACCCAAGTCCCGCCGTGCTCAGACATGCCATGGGGAACAGCAAAGACAGGATGTGGCTCCTCCTCAAAGAGCTTCCTTTAAGTCTGTTGGAGAAGAAGAAGGCACAGAAAAGTCATGAAAACCTAGAGCATCGCGTGGGTGCTAAGGGGGTTGGTGGGCCGTGAACTCTCACAGGAACACGGACGGTGGGGGGGCGGGGTGTCCAACTGCAGGCCTACAGAGTCCCGGGAAGGCTTCAGGGAGGAGGTGAGCTTCCGGCCAGGCCAGGAGGGTGGGCAAATTCAGAGCCGTGGGGGGGTGGGGGTGGTGGCGCTGCATTCCAGGGGCACCTGTGACCCGGGCGTTGACCTCGGGCGCTCAAAACATAGCTGACTGCCCCCCCCGTGAAAGTAGTGCCTTGTCCTCTTGCTGTGCTATCACAGGAGGAGACAGTCGGGGGCTGGAATGTTGGTGCAGTCACAGAGCTTGGTTTCTTGGAACTGGGGACCTGTGACACTCTCATGTCCTACGCTGTCATCACAGCATGAGGCCAGGACCGAGGATAGCCCGAAAACGCCACTGCTCAGCCTTCCCGCCAGGGCAGAACCACGGGGGCCACCCTGGGGCAGGGGAGCTGCTGCTGATATGCTGAGAAGGGCATCGCTTTGGGAAACCTCAGACTCTAAGCCCAAACCTCGGGCACAATTCTGGAGGGTATCAGAGAATTCGTACAGAGGAAATCTTTGAATATTATGAATAAGGGAAAATTTCCCTTCATTTCCTAATTCATCCTAGAGAGATTCGGTGAATGGCACTGATGTAGGAAAGTCCTCAGAAGGAGGTGAGCAGCCTTAGAGATGAGGAGGTCACAGGTGAGGGGCATGGGACACATAAAACACAAGCCCCGGCAGCCCGACCTTCCGAGTGCCACGCAGGAGAAAGTGGCATCCTCAGTGGACCGAGCCACGGACTCGCCCAACAGCAGATAAGTCATTCACGGGCTAAATCTTTCAAATGGAATGAATCGAGGGCCGTGATCATTTGAGGAGAAGTCAGCCCTTATTCATCTCCCCAAGATCCTGACCAGGGAGAGGGCGGGGGCTCCTTGGGAATGAGGGAGCTCCTGGGGCCTGAGGGGGGCCGCCGCACGGGCCTCTGAGCACACGGGACAGAAAATGTTCCTATCGGAGAAAAACAACGATGAACGGAATCTAGAGAAGGATTTTGCTGGAACTTGGAACTTTTCGCGCCGTAATGGAACAAGAGCCTGGCTGTAAGGAGCGCAGATGCCCCGTGGGACTGTTTGTTCAGGTGACAGGGGAGCACGTGTGGTCCCTGAGGTCCACAGCGCTGAGCCGAACGGGGACATCGCCCCTCCTCCTTCCACATCGGTCTTCAGCAAAGTCTGATGTCACCTTTCCTGTCCCTTGCCTCGGGCCTGGGGAGGGTACCTTCACACAGGCCCTGCCTGTGTGGGCTTGGCCTCTGGCGGGCAGGAGGCCACCTGTCCACTACCCGGCTGGTGACCACTGTGACCCATTCCACGCTGGCGACTGTGAGTGGCTCATTCATCCACTCATCCATTCAACAAGTGCCTTTTCTGCATCTCGTCTGCTCTGTCCCTGGCACTACTGTTTGTGCGGGGGGCGGAGGGGGGTGGATAAAGGACAGGGAAGGAGGGGCCAGCAGCAAGTGGCCTGGGAGATCGTGGGGAGACGAGAAGGGTCTCGGGAGCACAGCAGCACCTCCGGGTCCCACGGTCTCAGAGGGGCGCTCGGGAAAGAGGGAGGAAGGAGTCTGTCCGCCATGTGTCCGGGGGGGCACGTGATTCCTCCAAGCCCCCCCACGAGCCAGGGGTCCATTAGCTCCACTGTGTAAAGAAAATAAGCCAGCAACCGAGGCGACGTCTGTCTCACTCCTCGTGCCACGGTCGTCCCACAGGGAGCCAACTGGCCCTTCAGCACTGCTCCTCCTCAGGCTCCGTTTCCAGAAACACAGGGGACACTGAGAGGCAGCTGGTGAACTGGGGGTAAGGGGGATGAAGGGGGAAGGGGCTGCCTTCTGCAGACTCTACTTCAGAGAACAGGGAAGGGCTCACTCATATCCCTCACGGAGCGCCAGGCGCTGGGGATGTGAGTCAGAATGACACGGTCCCTGCCCTCATGGAACTCCCATTCTAGAAGGAAGCGGACAACCCAGCATGCTGTGCAGTTTGAAAGGGGAAGGATGGGCCCCGAGGAAGCACAGAGAATTACGTAACCCAGACTCACAGGGTTGAGAGTGACTTTGGGGAGGAAGTAACAGGTTGGCTAAGACCCCAAAGGGAAGCCTCAGCCTGATGTGTGGAGAGAACTTGCGGGAAGGTCTGCTGGTGATGGAGCAGAGTGAGAGGGGCCGAAAAACGGCCCGCCCAGTGTATGTGAGGAAACAGTGCAGGTGGGGAGGCACGCAGCTCAGAATGGACCTTGAAAGCGATGGGAAACCGAGAAGAGGGTTAGGTGTGGGGATGACCCGAGCAGGTTTGTGGTTTATCCCTTCCCTGGGAGGCCCAAGGCTGCCACAGCGAGGAGAGAGCTGTCCAAGGCTTCCTCAAGTTCAGGCACGTGTGGTGGAAGAGGGAGGCTGGGAATTCTGTCTTTTTTTTCCCTCGTGCACCAAGAAGGTTTCCAAGAGATGCAGTGAGCAGAAGGAGTAATCAAGCGAAGACTCACTACAGGTCCCTTGCATGGGAGCTGCCCATTCCAGACCCCGGCAGGACACACAGGCGGCTTGGGGACACATGTGCGTGAGCCAACACCTCCTTCTTGTGGCCACGAGGGGGATTGCCACTGTGTTCACAAGCATGCGGGGCCTTCTCTTGCTTCCCACCCAGAAAAGCAGAGCAGATATAGTCCCAGCTGCAGGTGGCTGTGGACCCCAGGAGGTCTCCCACCTGTTGTTTTTTTTTTTTAGGAGAAATCTGAGTAATGGGGGAAATGTGTATATATGTTTAGAAACAGATGCTAGGGAGGCAACGTTACCCATGACTCCGAAACAGATGACTAATTTTTTTTCATTTTGTTTGGACGTTATTTTAAAGTTCTCTGTTCTAGACGTGTATTCCTTTTGTTAATAAGAGAATGAATATATTATTATTATTTTTTGAAAGGCAGAAATGACACAAAAGTGCCCCAAGAGGGGACTAAAGTGGAGGCCTGGGGGCTCAGGTGACAACCGAGTGGCTGGGTGATGAGCCGCTACCCAGGCCAGCTCCCTGGGCCCTTCCACATCTGGGGAGCACAAACCCAGGACAGCTGCAGGGCCACAAGGGGGTCTGGGTTTGGGGATGAGGCCTCCTGAAGGAACCCTCCCTGCTGTCTCTCTAGTTATGTCCCTCATGCCCTTTGGCTCACACCCCGTGGTCCCTCCTGCCTCGCTTTCTCTCATCTACGTGCTGCCCTCCTGACCTGGTCACGCAGGGGCACATGACTGCCAGCTTCTGGGTGATCTAGAGTCTATTCCCTACGGCCACATGGAGGGTCCTCTCCTGTGCAGGCTGATGCTAAATGAGGGCTGGGTCTGCCCACAAACTGTGGCCACGAGTGCTACGTGTATGGGGTCTCTGTCTGCACAACTTTCTGACTTGGAACGAGACACTCACCTGGCCTGGAGTTCTGGTCACTTCTGTCACCGTCATGGCTGCTTCTTCCCTCTCCTGCTTGAAACTCTTCTCTTGGGCAAGGCAGCTGCTTGGCCTCCTGTCTGGAGGCTCCCTAATGCTGGTCTAAGATTCTGGAACATTCTGAGGTATCTCCCAGCTCTGGTGAAGTCACCCGTGGGATCTTCTTTCAGCAAGTTCCTGATCTGAGCTGAGTGCCTTGTCCTTACTCCTGAGGTCACCGTCTGTAATCATATGTAGAAAATCCAAATGTTACCTGTTTGCTTTGCAAAGAAAAGCTATGGAAATAAAATGCAAGCCTACCACCAGGGATGGATGAAATAAACCATGACATATAAAACAGCAATGAAAAATGAAGTTATAGAAAAGTAATTAATGATCACACTTTTTTTAAAAAGCAGGTTATGAGGGGCGCCTGGGTGGTGCACTTGGTTAGGGAGCTGACTCTTGGTTTTGGCTCAGGTCATGATCTCAGGGTCCTGGGATGGAGCCCCACGTTGGGTTCCATGCTCAGCAGGGAGCCTGCTGGAGACTGTCTCCCTCTCCCTTTGCCCCTGCCCCTGCTCACATGCTCTCTTTCTCACCCTCTAAGTAAATCATTTTTTTAAAAAAGCAGGTTATGAAATACAGTGAAATTATGAAGTACTTCATAAGGAGAGAATACCTCCAGGTTATTGTACAAACCTGGGGAGAGGATGAGGAAAAGGCAGGGGACTGAAGTGTGGGGATGGCGGGGGGGGGGGGGGGGCAGCGGAACAGGAAGGGAATTCTGAGAAGGCTGGGAAGAACTTGGGCTCTCCTAGCCATGCAGCAATAGGTGTGGGAGGCGGGCAGCTGAGGAAGCTGCCCAAGGGGCCAAGGTTAGTGACCTCCGAGGAGGTGCATCCTGGGGTCGAAGCTTGAGGTAAGTGCAGAAAGCGGGGCCCAGGCAGAGGGGTGGGAAGCTGGATTTGAGTGTGTGGTCCCGTGTTGGTCAAAGAACTCCGATACATCATAATAATTAAAAAAAAACTTGTATATGTAGGCACTTTATAGTTTACAAAGCACTTTCTCCTCTTTGATGTTTACAGATGCACGCAGCGGAGCCAGGACCTGAATCCAGCTAGCTCCAGCCCTCACTGTGCTGGGCTATGCTGCCCAGCTGCCCTTTACGAGCATGGGCAGCGAGAGGCTATAAAAGCTTAGGGCCAAGGAGGTCTTACACTTTACGACTGGAAGGGCCCAAACACTGAGCCATTAGAACAGATGTTGGTCTCATCTGGAGATCCAGAAGCCTCTTGTAAGACCAGGCAAAAGCCATTAGATGCTGGACCCCAGGAAGGTCCTGAGGGCCGGGGGGCCGGGGTGGGGGGCGGGGGAGAGTCGCTGGGGTGGCTAAGGAGGCTGTCCACACCAGAATTCAAATAGCTTTATTTGAATAGCTTTATTTGAATTTGAATTTTTATATTGAATTCACCAGAATAAAGCGACCACACCAGAACTCAAATAGCCTAATACTATGTCCAGTGTAATGAAGGACCCCCAGCTGTGGCAGAGAGACCGGTGGAAGCCTGAGGTTCTCGGCTGTGCCCCAATGAGTTCAGCACCTCTTTGAGTCCTGGACGTAAGGTCTCATGCTAGTCTGAGATCACACCCCACTCCCAGCACAGGTCTGCAAGCTATCATGTTCTGTCTGCCTTTTCAACACAGGAGCGCCCAGGAAAAAGATCAAAGACCGTGATATCCTCCCCAGAAGATGCTGCCTCTTACCACTGGTGTGGAGGGTGTGGGGTTCCCACCACGTGTGAACTGGGGATCAAGTGGCTGAAGCTGGTGATGTGTGGTGATTCCTGTGCTGGGGAGGGGGGCGCTATCTCCCCCCCAAGAAAACTTCCTGTCCTGGAGACAGTTAAGAAAATTGGGAGCCTTAAAGGAAATAAAGGTAATTACTTGCTTTTCTTTTCTTTTCTTTTTTAGATCAAAAAATGTTGGAGCTTGTAGGGTCCCAGAACTCTCTGAAGTGCTGACGGGCTAGGTCTTGGGTGGGAGGCTGATTACCTGGCAGCATGGTCCTCTGCCTCTGGCTTCAAGGTCAGAATTCTGTCCTGCTTTTGAAGGACCTGGGGGCACTGGACACAGCCCCCCTCATTGCGGTGCTCTTTCTTGACGGGAGAAGTCCCCAAGGAGGCTCACTTGTGCCGTGTGAGGCTTATGTTTCAGAGAAACTCTGAGCTGCTTCATATTTCAGAAACTTTCTGAAACACAGTAACATGAAATAAAACCCCTTGATTATGGTCCTTTTCAACACCGCTAAAGAGAGTAAAATAGTACAACGCCATCTCAGGTATCCCGTACCATTCTTGGCTCCCCGCAGCCGGCCACGCTGGGTATTTTTTCAGCAAATCTCAGACATCATTTCGACCATAAAACCTGCAGTATGTGTCTCTAAGACTCTTTTCCTTTTTAAAACATAACCGCAACAGCCTTTTCACAACCAGAAGTTTTAAACAGTAACTCTGCCATATTGCCAATCAATGTTCACATCTACCAGATTTTAAAAAGCCGCACAATTGATTCTTAGACTCATGATCCAAATGAATTTACAGGTGTATCTGGCTGGTAAGTCTCCTTATCTATAGGTCCACTTCCCTCTTTAAAAAAAAAAAAAAATTTTTTTTTTAAAAATCTTGTACTTTTGTATTTCAGCTGGCTGTCGTTAGAACGAAATGACACTTAACCGATGTCTGGGCGCCTGCTCTGTGTCAGGCAGGGCGCTCTGTGCTGCAAAGAAAGGCGTGAGCGGACAGACTAGGATCTGGCCTCGCTTTGGGGCAAACCATGGGCTCTGTCTGGGCTTCGGTCCCCCCTAATCTAGCAGAAGAGACTGGACCAAGCGCTCCTTCGAGGCCACGCTCTGATGCGGCTCTCAACGCTGTGACCAACCCACTGTGCGAGCCTCTGCAAAACGCCTGCCAGATACCTCCCCTGGAGCCCGGGCCCACACCCCGCCTTTCCGGGCGACCGCCCGCCTGCCTGGGGTCCCGGAGGCCGAGGAAACGCGGAAGGGGCTCCCCCGGACGCCGCCAAGCTCCGACCGGACCGCGGTGGCGAGCGGTAACGGCCACCGCTCGGAACTCGGCGCACGGACCCGGCTCCCGCCCAACTACAATTCCCAGAGGCTTCTGCGGCGAGCCGGTCACCATGGAGACCAGCCGGGCTCGTCGGCTCTGCAACGGTCGGTGGCGTCGGCCTGCGAGGAGCCGTGCGCGGAACAGTCCCCAAAGCTTTCAGACGGGCCGGTCACGTGCCCCCACCACCCAGGCCTTGGTTCTGCGGCCCGAGGAGACGGAGTCCTTACACCGAACCAAGGCCATGGGAGGACGGAACTACATTTCCCAGAAGGCCGCAGGCGCACTCCGCTTCCGGTCGCTCGGCACTGAAAAGGTAACACCGAGCTGTTGCCAAAGGAGTCAAGTCCTGGGTATTTGGGCTCCTGAAGCCCGTGAACAGAGGAGCGGGAGACAGAGAAGATGGACAGAGGAGGAAAGGATAATGGGGAATTTGGTTACAAAGCAACATTAAAGATCGCATCCCCTCCTGTTTACCTTTTCCACGACGCTCAGGGCCAGCGTGGGCATCGCACAGCTCTCTGGGAAATGCAGGGGACGCTGCCCTAAGGCCTATGGGAAATGTAGTCACTGATTAACTCACTTCGTTGAGCACCTGCAATAAACCGGGCACGCTGAAAATAGGGGATTAAACTCGCCTTCTTCCTTCTTGTCCACTCAAACACAAATTTTACTTCCTAAATACTTACGGAACCTGTCCCATTTTCTTCATGCCAATCGCTGATGCTGTGTTTCAGACACTCTGGATTTTCTTGTCAACCTGCTCTCAGGCATGTTCCCCTTAAGTCGTCTCTCCACGGGGCCACCAAAGTAATCATCCCTGCTCTGCTTAGGGCATTTCAGCGGCTAATAGACTCACGTCCACGTTCCTTGCTGGTATATATTTGACCTTACTCTCTCGTGCTAGTCTTTTCATACGTAAGAACCATTCTTTTTAGAGTCACCTCGTTTGCGATTGATACCTTAAAACTACTGTCACCATTTAAAAAAAAAATGCAAAGCACAACTTCCTTCTTTGAACAGTTGCACCGCCAAAAAGGATGATCAATTCCCAGTGTCGTTGTATTTGCAAAATATCCTTGAAAAGTACTTGAAGTAGGTTCCTGTAAGTAGAAACCAAGTCATTCATACTCTGACAAAATTAGAATTCCTCTGAACAAAATATTTCGTTGCGTCACATGGGTAACACACCTAGGTGTTTTCCAGGCCTTGTAAAGTCACACAAAAGAGAAAAGGATGGTTCTTGTATAAAGTACTTATCACAAAACTCCAGTTAGACAATAATGTAAAATAGAGAAGTTATTTTTATTTTACATAGCACTTTGAATGTCTAAGATCTAAAATTACGCCCCATCCGAAGAGCTGCTTCAGTGTGGGGTAAATCTGCACTGAGGCTTTCGAGAAAGGAGGCATACTTTTTTTTTTTTTTAAAGATTTTATTTATTTGACAGAGAGAGATACAGCGAGAGAGGGAACACAAGCAGGGGGAGTGGGAGAGGGAGAAGCAGGCTTCCCGCGGAGCGGGGAGCCCAATGCAGGGCTCGATCCCAGGACCCTGGGACCATGACCTGAGCCGAAGGCAGACGCTTAACGACTGAGCCACCCAGGCGCCCCAGGAGGCATACTTTTAAAAGCTATCAGAATGCTTAGATAGGAATGAACTGCAGAAAGATAGAGGAGGTGGTGCTCACATCAAAGCACCATGAACTTTCCTTTTGAAGTGGGAATACTTGGCAGACATAGCATTTCCATTGGCTTTTAACTTTGGTAGGAAGAATCACCAGTATCATAAATGTAGAGAATTATTTAACTGATAAAGCAGTTTCAAAGTCACATTAAAAATGTGTAATCTGTTCTCAACATTCAAAAGCAGAGTTTCCTCCTTCCTCACTAATTTAATCTCTTTGGGTTTGGTTTTTAAAAATGGGGATCCTTCATTTGTTGAAGGAAAGAATACATTTGTTGAGAAAGTATCAGCCAAGGCCAGGATATTCTCAACCATCAGGTGGGGAAGGCTGAGGTCAAGATCTAGAAGAGTCATAGTTCAGAGTAATTTTCTTGAGTGGTGCAAACAGTTACTTTTTTAATTGGTATTTTAAAAAACTCTCATAGGTCTTCAGTTACTAGCAAATCTCTGCTCTTTGCTATAACAATTTAGCTACCCTTGTGGTATATGGGTCTTCTGGTGTTCTACAAAAAGTATAATGATCTCCAGGAGCTTCCCTGAGCAATCTGGAGCTGTGGACGTTCAAGTTGTGATGTTAAGTGACTAACTCGTGGTTTTCTTTACAAGTTTCAGTAATACTCCCTGATTTGATTGGTTTCAGAAAATATGATGATGCTAGTTCTATCTGCAACATATGTGGAAACCATTTTCTGGGTGGCTCGGCTTCAAGAATGGCTCTTTGCCCGTTGCTGTCCTTGTTGCTTTACTAGGGGTTCAGTCTCAGGGGTGACGTTCTCGGCCATGTTCATCTGTGGACTCATTTTCCTGCCCAGTTACCGCAGGACAGGGGAAAGAACAGGGGCATGGGGGGCCAGTTTGGTCCCTGTCCCTAACTTGCTGGGTCACCTCAGACTGATCATTTGTCATCTCCCCTAACTCCCCCTTCCCCCGAACCTGCTCCTCTTCCATTAGCGCCTCAGGTACCATTCATTGAGGCTGAATTCCAGCCCCCAAAGATCTCAGGACCCAACCTCTGGAACATGTGAGTGTTGTTTCATTAGTTGGAAAAAGGGTCTTTGCTGATGTGATTAAGTTAAGGATCTTTAGATGGGGAGATTATCCAGTTGGGCCCTTAATGCAATTATAAGTGTCCTTACAACGGAGAGTCGAGGGCGGTTTGAGTCAGATACACAACGTGAAGATGGAGCAGAGAAAGATCTGAGGGTGCTGGCCTTAAAGACTGGGGCGATGCGGCCACAAACCAAGGAATGGTAGCAGTCACTTCTACACGTGGCCTTCCCATCCAGCTCTCACGCTGCCATCAGAGTTTATTTCTAAAGTGGAGACCTGACCACATTAACCGGCAGGGATGATTCTTCAGTGGCAACTCAGACCCTAACTCCTTGGCCTGGTCTGAGAGGCCCTTCACCAACTGACCACTCACCTTCTCTCTGCCACCCACACCTCCCGCCACTCAGAGACGCCCGTCCCCACTCCCTCCCCCCGTCACCCTCCCCGCCATGTCACTCAGTCCCACACGGACTGCACATACATTCACTGGAGTCATGCTGAACTACTGAGTCTCCCCTGTGACCAGGCTCTTCCATGCTTCTGCGGCTCTCATGTGCATTGTCCCATCTGTGATACAAAGAAAGTAATCTCACCATACGCATGGCAAAAATCACATGGTGCAGTTAGAAAATGGTATGAAATGAGAAATCAGACCTAGGATGCCAAGACCAGCAACTTTACCCTTCCCTCGAAAGGGCTGATGGTCGAAACCACCTTCCTAAGATTTCACATTCAATCATATTTATGTCCCAAATCATGCATTTCAGAATTGTTAAAAATGTCCATCAATAAAAAGGTAATATTTCAACATGAATGGTTATTAAAATGATCTAGTATAAAATTGTAACATAAGTGGTTATGTGGAATAATTTGCAGCTATGAACAAGAATAGAGCAGCTCTGTATTTACACAAACTCCTAAGATAAAAAGTGAAAAAAGCAAGTTGTAGGAAAATGTGAACAGTTTGCTATCATTTCCATTCACAAAACACATTTGTACATGCACAGACTGTGTCTGGTAGAATGTGGAAGGTAAGCAGCTTCTTTTTTTTTTAAGCAGGCTCCATGCTGGGCATGGAGCCCAACCACTGGGCTTGAACTCACGACTGAGATCAAGACCTGAGCTGATTATCAAGAGTCGGACACTTAACCCACTGAGCCACCCAGGCGTCCTGGTAAGTGGCTTCCTGAGAGGGAATGGGTTTCCAGGACAGGGAAGACAGACTTCTTCATTGACTCTCCCCTTAGAACTTGTGCACACATGGCCTATTCAACTGCAAATCTTTTTCTCTATTCAAGTCCTTACAAGGGTTGCACTCTGGCCCCTAATGTAAATGCATGCTGCTGGGGTTAATTTTTCTGTTGAACTCTTGGCTTCTCATCAACAATCAGATAAAAATAATTCCTTTCTGTTCTGGAGCTGTATTCTGCAGACCAATTATTATTACTGCCGCTGTTACGTAAAGATGATTTGCCACAGTTGGCCTTGAGGCTATTCTGTGTTCCTTCCACATGTTCCCACCGAGAGCAGGTCAGAAGGAAATTAACCTGGACTTAAAATGTGCTTGCAGGTAACCAGGCAGTTGGCTAAGAGGTGACTGTAGTTCAATCTAAATTTACCAGGACGTTGGCATTATTAGCAAATACCACTCTCTGACAGACTGCCCACACAGCTCCATTTCAGCCTCCTCCTTGTCAAAGTGAAGAGCACCCACGCCTATTGATTCATCTCTCTTAAGCGTCTCTACTTTTATCTCACTCGCACTGGAAAAGACCTACATCTAACTTTTGATCTACTTAATGTGTTTTCAGGTTGGCTATGTTAAAAAAATTCCAAAAATAGGGGCACCTGGCTGGCTCAGTCGGTAGAACATGCAGCTCTTGATCTTGGGTTGTGAGTTCAAGCCCCATGTTGGGCCTAGAGCTTACTTAAAAAAAAAAAAGAATCCAAATATAAAAATTATGGATGAACAAATTCTTAAGATTAAAGCAAACTCACTTGTACCATAAGCTATAAACTCACCATATTTGCTTATTCTGAGCATCAACACTTTTGATGGTTTTTACAAATTAAGTGTTAGGACGATATAACATTGTTTTTACATGTATTACCTGAAGGAATACTTAAGAATTAAATTCCCCTGAGATCATAAAAAACTTTTTAGAAGATGTTATGTGTATTCTACCTTCCAAGCTGATAAGGACGTCCAGATATCAAGGATATTTAAATAAAAATAAAATCTTGGAGAGGTTAAATGCTGATCTTCCTCAAAAACATCCTAGGTGGGGGTGCCTGGCTGGCTCAGTCGGTGAAGTGTGTGACTCTTGATCTCAGGGTTGTGAGTTCGAGCCCCACATTAGGTGTGGAGATTACTTAAAAATGAAATCTTTGAGGGTGCCTGGGTGGCTCAGTTGGTTAAGCGACTGCCTTCGGCTCAGGTCATGATCCTGGAGTCCCGGGATCGAGTCCCGCATCGGGCTCCCTGCTCAGCAGGGGGTCTGCTTCTCTCTCTGACCCTCCTCTCTCTCATGCTCTCTCTCTGTCTCTCTCAATAAAATAAAATAAAAAATCTTTAAAAAAAAAATGAAATCTTTGAAAGAAAGATATCCTAGGTGAATTGTACACTAATGTTTCAGCAAATTATTTACAATAACCAACAGAAGAACAGATAAACAAGATGTAATCTGTCCATACAATGGAATAGTATTCAGCCCTAAAAAGGAAGGGCATTCTGACATCTGCTACAACATGGATGAAACTTGAGGACATTCTGCTCAGTGAAATAAGCCAGTCACAAAACTTAAAATACTGTATGATTCTACTTTTATGAAGTCCCTAGAGTAGTCAAATTCAGAGAGACAAAAAGTAGAATGGTGGGTGCCGGGAGTTGGGGGGAGGGGGAATGGGGAGTTAGTGTTTAATGGGTACAGAGCTTCAGTTTGGGATGATAAAAATGTTCTGGAGATGGAGAGTGAAAAATGGTTAAAATGGCAAATCTTATGTATATTTTACACCAAGTTTAAAAAGGGTAACAGGATTGTTAAATTAAAAAATTGTCCTTAAATTAAAAAATAAACTTCTTTGTAGGTTTATAACAAGAATACTGCATCTCTTACTACTGTAACTGGGATAAGATTTGAGAGTACTCTACCTGCTATATTCTCGATTGCCCTGAAAATCCTGTTTTTCTACCAGGAAGCTGAGAGTTGAGGATGGGCCAGACAGGCTAGCTGTTGCAAGGAATGCAGTGGTCCTGCCATAGAGACCCCCAGAGATCTCGGATGTATGGAGGACACAGGTGGTTCTCGGAGATGCGCAGGGCCAGGCCCAGCCAGGATATGGCGGAGTCAGCCTGGGACCCATGGTTCCACGGGGAAAACCCATGCCATTGGCTGTACCAGTCCTGGACTTGACTGGAGATGGCCAGTAGGGTGGCAAGTGACATCCTGAAAGAGGTCAGGAAGGGCACCAGAGGACCTGGCCCTTGAACAGCTGCCCCAATATTAGCACAAACCCTGTCCGATCACCCTGAGGCCATCTTGGGGAAAAGGGTGAGGAAGTAGACCGTAACCTTGAATTGATGAAATATTTACCCCAGAGACTGAACTAATGTGGAAACTTTTAAGTTGCAAGAGACAGAAAAACAGTTGATTCTCACTATGCACGGTCCTTACATTCTGTAAAGTCACCATGCGCACTGGATGAGGGAATAGCAAACCACTGCTTCTGGGGAAATACAGGGTTACGTTCCTGTGCACCTCTGATCCCAGTTTCATCAGCCATCAATATGCAACCTTGTTTTATGGACGCTTCTATTTAAAGACACCCTATTCAATATGCGTTGTTGATTTCATCGACATTGAACTCACAGCCAGCTGCACTGGAACTTGTGCTGGAACGAGGCTTCTCTGAAGCATCAGTTTTCTCCGTAAGGCACATCCCAGCCTTTTTGCACTTTGGAACATTAGCCAGCTTTTCCCACGCCACATTTGGGGGTCATTTTAAACAGCGAAACCACTCACGAAAAGCACAGAAATGTGAAAATGCGGCACCCAATAGGCTGTGACAAGGACACTTGATAGTATGAGATGTGAAACAAGAAGGCAGAGGGTGGCCTTGTTCAGCCTCAGCTGGAAACATGCGTGACCAGTGATCCAAATTTTTTGCCGTTCTGAATAACTGAAAGCGCTGTGAGTATTGATCTGGGGGTTACAAATCAGTTTGAGCCAGTAGGCAAATTTGCAAATGCAGAGCCCATGAAGGAGGCTCAATTGTACCCTCATTTGGCATCAAATGTGGTCTAGGTCCCCTCCTTATCTAGGAGGAGGGGACCATGAGATTTAGACCAATTATGGAAAATGGAAGACTCTATCATTTTTTCCTCATATCTAAGGTGTAGGACTTAAGTGTTGGACTCTACCTCCCTGTTATTTAAAGGAACAGAATGGCAGCTCCACGAGGGGGCGGATTTTTATCTGTTTTGCTCATGCTATATATCGTCAGCAGCTAGAACAGTGTAGCACGACGCGTCAGTATTTGCTGAATGAACTAAGCAATGAAAACCACCTTCAAACCAACACACAGGAATTAAACTGCCGAATCGTTTGGTTCTGACGGTTACAATTCCACAATTTTTGTCACTTGACGTATATGAAGAGGAAAGAAAAACAGCTCAGTTTTCCAGCTCTTGGAGAGGTTTGGGGCAAAGGAATGAGAATGCAATAAGAGGATTTTCTCATCTGAACTAAGGACAGGGAATAAACAGTATGAGTCAACTCCCTGGCTGACCCGACCTTAAGAGCAGATAAGGAAAATCTCTTCTATAGCCACAGGGAGAAGGTCGCATCAGTAGCTGGGTAAGATTCCAGATCTGCCTGGGGAACAAGGTGACCTCATGTGCGATGTGGAAGAGTCCAGGTGAAGGCTGCTTAGGTGATAATTGACATCTCCTCCCGGTCTCTGCTTTCAGACACTGAGTTGATTATGCTTTTTAAATACTTTATGAACTCCAACCTGATCTCTTCAGGGTCATCCTCAAGATTCGAGTGCACCAGCTTCAGCTTGCTCAAGGGGGGCGCTTAAAAAGGAAAGTAAATTAGGCATGAACTTTTAAGGAAGGGCCCTTTCCAGCTCCCAATGACCTGAGTCTTATCGAAGCCAATTTGTTGACCTCTCTAGAGGCCAAAAATAAAATGGGGTCTTGCCTGCCATGATTTAACAGAGGAAGAAACGTTTTACCACGTGCCACTGCCGATGCGCTCAGCATCGTGCTCGGCATAAGGTAGGTGCTCAATAAAGAATGCCACCACACTGTCACCTGGTGGTGGGATAGCAAAACTACAAGCCACTTCCAGGTCCTCTTCTCACACCAGAAAGGAAGAGATTTCTGAATATTGTGAGTCGTCTTCCATGAGCACTTTGTCACTCTGTCATGGTGTGTCACAGGCTAATTGGGAGATTTTCTTGAGACAAGACCAGTCAGGAAAGAATGTCCCTAATTGTACTGATGAGTGGCTAAAATCAGGTTGTTGTTTTTTTTTTTTCTCCTCTTGGTGTTTGCCTGCTTTCAAAGTGTCTCTGTCCTGGCCTGGATGCTATGACAGATCTTCCAACCTGGCGATTCCAATTTACATGGTAGGAAGAACAAAGGCCAAGGACAGAGTAAGTGCTCAATAATTGCACAGAGCCTCTGGTTTCTAAAGACACGAAACAATATACAAATGCCCAGACCACTCAAGACAAGAGCTGAAAGGAGAAATGGCAGTTTCCTTACACAAAGTCAGGTGTCCTTTATCACTTCCGGAGCCTGGTTTGTGGTGCGCGATCAACAGACACCGAGGGTCCTGTAGGAACTGCTGCTGGACGAAGCAGGAATACCACATCTCGATTTCCTTCAGGTGGCTCGGGAGGTCGGCATTGAAGATGATCACCACCCCGTGCGCGTCCTTCATCAGGGCTGGCCAGCAAGACTCGAACCTGCAAGACAGAGAAGGAGGCACGGTGACTGTCAGGTGGCTCTGGTTTCTAGCTGAGGCCTTCAGAAATAACGTCTTAGGGTTAATTGATGGATGACTTGTCATTGTGTCAAGTTTCAAAAGCCACACATGTCACCAAATAATCGATCACGCCCCTAATACATGCTAGGAAGTGTGCTGGGCCAGAGTCCAAGGTGCTTGGCGGGCAGCTGAGTCTTGAATCATTTGATGAAGCCAACCCTCTTTAAAGGAAACGTACTTTGGATCACCGCCACAATCCCATAGCTCAAATTCACACCCCGGGTCTTTGGCGTTGCTGGTCACGTGTGGGTTCTCAAATTCCAGGATCCTAGAAATAAAAACAATAGCAGCATCTCCACTTTGGGAACAGTATACTTTGGGAATGCCACCATCCCCAAAAGGGGGGTGGTGGGCCTCTCTGGGAAACAGATTTGTCGGGGCTCACCTCACTCCTTGGGTTGGGTTGTATTCGGTGATGTCAGAAGATTCTGTCAGGAAGTTGGCCAAAACGGTTTTTCCACTCTGTGGAAATGAAGATAATAAAAGGTCTTTGCTGAAGAGCTGAAAAGTAAACCATAAACGTGCCCTCCAGTAGCTGGCTTGGAACCAGGTGTGATGGCGTGTAGGCCACGGCCACCCCGAGAGCACCAAGGCAGACGGTTCTCTCTGGTTGGGCGGGCCTCGCTGCCTTCCTGTATTTGGTGGGCGCAGTCTGGTCTGGGACCCAGCATGCACAGAGTTTTAAAGAAGGTCTAACTGGGTGACCTTCTTACCCATACTGATTTCCCTGGCTGGCTTTCAGTTAACTTATCTGAGAACAGAAAAGAATTGTTAGTGCTGAGTCTCTCTCCTTTTTCTTTTTTTTAATTAAAAAAAATTTTTTATTTCCTTTTTTTTTTTTTAAGATTTTATTTATTTTTTTGACAGAGAGAGACACAGCGAGAGAGGGAACACAGGCAGGGGGAGTGGGAGAGGGAGAAGCAGGCTTCCCGCCGAGCAGGGAGCCCGATGCGGGGCTCGATCCCAGGACGCTGGGATCATGACCTGAGCCGAAGGCAGACGCTTAACGACTGAGCCACCCAGGCGCCCATCACGAGTCTCTCTCCTGCCATGCTCCTCTCCACATCAAGAAACCAGTCTGTCACAGATACGAAGCCACTGAGGTCCAGAAAGGGGAAGGGAGTTCCTCAAGGTCACAGAGAAATTCAGGTTCAGAGCTGGGTCCCACAGTGGCTGGCGGTGCCACACTCTCGCACAGGGCTGTTTCTCCTTCTAGAAAATACAAGTCATACACGGTCCTATTAACAAAACAGCCCTCCTGGTCCCTCCGCCCAAAGTAGCCATCTGTCCATCCATTCCATTCCCTCCCCAAAGGTGAAAACTGTGATCTGTTTTCAGATATTTTCTGTACATTTGCATCGTTCATTTAGCGAATATAGTATATGCTCGGATGTAAGATAAGGCGTTTTTTCTCCGCAAATTCCTCCTCAGATGAAAGGGAATCTCTTACACTTGAGTCCTCAAAAATCTCTGAAATTATGTCCTGCTCTCTCAAGAACTTTATTTTGAACAACTGCTTGACTAGAATCATTTCAACCAATGCCAGTTTTGGAGGCTTGTAGAGGTCACTTGACAGAATCAGGAGAAGGTCGGGGAAGGGGCTTAATCTTGCTTTAGTAATTCTTCCTGAGCATGCAGCCTCACTTAAAAATAACACAGTTGAGGGGCGCCTGGGTGGCTCAGTCAGTTAAGCTGGTGGCTCAGTCAGTTAAGCATCAACCTTTGGCTCAGATCATGATCTCAGGGGTCCTGGGATCAATCCTGGCGTCAGGCTCCCTGCTCAGTGGGGAGTCTGCTTCTCCCTCTCCCCCTGCCCCACCCCAACTAACTAAATAAATCTTAAAAAAAAAAAAACAAAAAAACTACGGTTGAGTGGTTATGTTTGTGGAGACCATGGGTATTTATCTATAGGATGAACGAATAAAGCAAATGACCTGATGTAATAGGAATGGTTCTTTGGGGGTGCCTGGGTGGCTCAGTCGTTAAGCATTTGCCTTCGGCTCAGGTCATGATCCCAGGGTCTGGGATCGAGCCCCGCATCGGGCTCCCTGCTCTTCAGGAAGCCTGCTTCTCCCTCTCCCACTCCCCCTGCTTGTGTTCCCTCTTGCTGTGTCTCTCTCTGTCAAATAAACAAATAAAATCTTTAAAAAAAAAAAAAAAAGGAATGGTTCTTTGGGCTGGAATACATTTCTAGGAACAGGGTCATACACATTCAAAATGTGCTTATATACTAAACTACTCAGATGGTATGCTTTGTCTTGTTCTTTTTTTTTTTTTTAAGTTTTATTTAAGTAATCTCTACACCCAGTGTGGGGCTCAAACTCATGACCCTGAGATCAAGAGTCACACACTTGTCCAACTGAGCCAGCCAGGTGCCCATCATGTGGTTTAAAAGTGGCTCTGGTCATAAAATCAACTCAGGTGTCAAAGGTGCAGGTGAGGAGCTTAAATTTTAAAGCTGTGTCATGAAATGCAAGTACGGAATAAAACAGCATTTCTAAATTAATATGTATCTTTAGGGTACCTTTAAATGTATATATAGCTACATGAATACATAAAACATTATAGAAGTATATTTATATATTTCATCTATGCCCTTAAATTTATATATACATGTTGGTCAAAACCAATTGATTGAGGGGGAGGGTTCTTCTGGGAAAATGAAGAAACTGTTAGGCACATCAGGTATTTTTAAGTGTCTACCTTGCCCGGAGCTATTGAACACAAGATGAAGTAGTGCTAAGCACGAGGATAAAAACCAAGTGGGGGGCACCTGGGTGGCTCAGTCGTTAAGCGTCTGCCTTCGGCTCAGGTCATGATCCCAGGGTCCTGGGATCGAGCCCCGCATCAGGCTCCCTGCTCCTTGGGAAGCCTGCTTCTCCCTCTCCCACTCCCCCTGCTTGTGTTCCCCTCTCTCGCTGTGTCTCTCTCTGTCAAATAAATAAATAAAATCTTAAAAAAAAAAAAATCAAGTGGGATAATGCCATAGGGACTTTGAACTGGGTGGTCAGGGAAGGCTGAAAGGGTGAAGTTTAAACCGAGATTTGAATGACAAGGAGTCAACCGAGCCTGGCGAAGAGAATAACTAGTTGGATGGCACCAGGCCAGGAATGGGCCCAGCATGCTCAAGGAATAGAAAGGTTGGCCAATCTGCAGAGTATTGAGGTAGAGGAGGATATGTGTATGCGGAAATATATTTTGTTGTTGAAGCTGGGTGATGAGTACTAGGAGTTCCTTGTTTTTTCTCCCTTTGTATGTTTGAGAATTTCCATGAAAAAAAAGAGAAGATATTTATGCTTGGTTTACTTTTCACAATTCTGTGCATATTGTTATTACTTGCCTATTTCACTTACTAGTTTATGTCTTGGCAAGACATAAACTTGACATGTTCTCCATGTCACTCCACACAGATGTGCCTCCTTTTGGGTAACGCTGGAGTCTTCCCCGGTAGGAATGTCCCTAGTTTATTTAGACATTCTCTTATCGATGGGCATCTAGGGTGTTTCCAGTTCAATATCTTTCAATACCCCTCTGGGGAACATAGGTAAGTGTCCAGCTACCGTAGATTTTGAGAAATGTAAGTGTTGCACTGAAAGCTATGCATGTTTTAAAGTTTAATAATTGGATTGGCCAATAAAGCTGTTAGCAATGTATAGTCCCATCAACAGAATCCTAAAGTACTCATTTCCCTACAAGCATCCTCATGCTTCATGTTATCAGTGTTCTAACCTTTTTTCACCCGCTACAATGGGCAAATAAGCTTCATCTTCTTGTTTTAATTCATGTTCTTGTCGTCTGTTGAGGCTGAACATCCTCTCATACTTATTGGCTGGTTGTACTTGGGTCCAGGGACTTCGCTTGATTTTCTATTGAGTTTTTTATTTTACCAATTTTTAAACTTTCCCCAGGCTTACTTTCGCTGTCATTTCTTTTAGGCTTCTTCATTTTTTGTGTTGTGCTTGAGGAGACTTTCTCAAGCTGAATAACATTATCTCTCCACACACGCATCTACTACAGTGGTTCTCAACGCGTGGTCCCTGGACAAAGAGCATCGGTAAAAGGCAGATTCTCGGATCCCTCCCAGACCTACTGAATCAAAACTCTGGGGCAAGAAACAAACAAACAAACAAACAAACAAACTCTGGGGCAGCACTGGCATGTTGTGTTTTTCACAAGCCCTCCAGGCAACTGGGATGCGCGCTTAAGATGGAGAATATTCACTATTTCTACGGTAGTTGTTTTACACATTTAGCTTTAGTCCATGGGAATCTTATTCCTTTGTATGATGTTAAGTCCACAGATAGGTTTAATCCTCCCCCCCACCCCCCCACCACGCACACTACGAGGGAACCGTTCAAAGACCATGTAATAGCCCAATCTTTCCTCTCCTTTTCTTGTCCCACAGGCATGTTCATTAGGGCCGACCTCAGGGGCAAAGGAGAATCGTGGGACCTAGACTCTGGTTCCAAAACGCCACTCACTGCTTTCAGGACTTACGAAAACGGGGTCAAGGTCTGGGGGCGCCGAGTTCACGCTGAGGCCAGCGGCGCACACCGGGTGGGCGCGGTGGGACAGGGCTCCCGACTCCTGGGGGCGCTCCCGGCGCAAGGCACAGTCCCGGGTCGCCCCGCGCCCGCCTCGGCCCCCTCCCGCCGCCCTCGCCGGCCGGGCCTCACCTCGCAGGGCCCCACGAAGAGAATCTTGGCCTTCAGCATCGCGGTCCGCCGCCCTCAAGCTGGTGGGAGCCCACCGCTGCCGGGAGGAGAGGAAGCCACCGCGCCGATCGGCAGCCTTCGTTTCCACGGCGACGGCGGCGGCCCGCGGGGGCCGACGGGAGTGGGCGGGGCCGCGGGGCGGGGCCTGGAACGGAAGGGCCGCGGATGGGCCGGCGGATAGGCGGGCGGATCGGCCGCCTCCTCTGGCTTGGCGGCTTGGACTTCGGGGCTGGAAGCGGGCGTGCAAGGCTAGAGGGAGGGCGCAAGGGAAGCAAAAAACCCGGATCCAGACTCGCTTCTGACCCGGGAGGACCGCAGAGCTCACACAGGCCGCCTCTCTCTCTTGGTAGGTTGGGGGCTGATGGCAGGTCCCTGATCTGTGCGCCTCCCTGGAATCCCGAGGACTCAGACTGGCCATGTAGCTGGTGAGCTGGGCTTGGGAGCAGGCCTTCTGACGCCTTCGTCACTGCCACGGCACTGCCCACACTGTGATCGGGTTTATCACGGCCCTGGCCCAATCTAGAAAAGGTCAGAGACAAAACGAGTCTCGGGGCTCCGAATGGGTTCACCACTGATCGTCCTTTGGGTGATCTGGGGAGAAACCCAAAAGGACAATGCCCAGCGTAGTTCAGTGTCGGTGCAGATGTCTGGGCGCTTCGCTGCAAAGTTCATTCATTAGTTCAGCCTTAAATTGCGGAGCCGGTCCAGAATTTCAGGAGAGGCCATGAAATTAAGTGTCCAGACAAAATTTGCTAGCCCCAGAAAGTGCTGGTATGACAAAAACGCCAAAATAAACCCAACACCGTGTCTTTAACTTTTAGTGGATAGTTACATAGTCTTTGTATTACAAACAACGGGTGAAGTGTAAGGAAGAGTCTACCTCAATTTCAAGATGTCATGAATTGACTGATTGATTAAATGAATATCCTTCAAATGCCTACTTCATACCAGGCACTCTTCCAGGTACTGGGATTTACCTGTACCTCTGGAAGCTTTCATTCCAGGGGAGCCGATGGACATTAACTAAGCAAGAAAATAAATAACTAAAACATGTTTTAGTTAGTGGTAAGTGCTATGAATAAAAATAAATTACTAAAGAGTTAAGGAGTGTGAAGGAACCAATTTTGGATGAGGTAGTCAAAGCAAGACCTTGGGACAGAGGTGACATTAAAGCAGAAAGCTGAGTGAAGCGAGGGCTCAAGCAAACTGCGAAAGATCTCGAAGAAGAACATGCCGGAACAGCAAGGACAAAGGCACTGAGGCAGAAATAAACTTGGCATGTACCAAGAACAGCCCAGAGGGTCCATGAGGCTGGTGCAGGAAGAATAAGGGAGAGTGGTAGGGTATGCTGTTGGAGAGATCGTGTAAGACTTTGGGAATTTATTCTAAGGGTGATGGGAAGCATGTGCAAGGAATTGTATCGGGCTATGTGTAAGAGAAACTCTAGGGCCACCTGGGTGGCTCAGTTAAGCGGCTACCTTCTGCCCAGGGTCCTGGGATCCAGCCCTGCATTGGGCTCTCTGCTCAGCGGGGTGTCTGCTTCTCTTTCTCCCTCTGCCCCTACCCCCTCTCTCCCGTGCTTGCTCTCTTGCTCTCTCTCTCTCAAATAAATAAATAAAATCTTTAAAAACAATAGTTTGGAACCCCAATATGACATGGCTGAAACGCTAAAGTTCATTAGTCAGTGACGCTGCCTGAAATATCAGGTCTAGGGCTAGTTAGCCTGTGATATTGGAGAAATGTAGTGCTTAAAAGCCCTTCATAAATTGGCTCCCACCTATCTATCCGGTCTCATTCCCATCCGCATCTGCTGTGGGTTCTTTCCATCTTCTCATGTCTCTTAAGACTTCAGCGCTATTTCTCCACCTGTCTTCCCAACTCCTCTTGGCCCTTTTGAATGCTCCTTGATGCCTCTGGCCATAATTAACTTCACATAGTGGCTGTTTCCAAAGTGTACCTTTGAAGGTTATGTGCTTGAATTCTTGGTTTGGGGTTCTGAAAGAGGAGGAGGAGGGATGCATTCTCAGTTGATGAAAATGAAGGTGGAGTGGAAATAATTTGGATGGGGGGACTTTGTATTTTGCTTGGGGATTAATTTGACTGAAAGAACAAAACTCTCACAGTGACAAGGTCTGGAGGAGGACAGTCTAGGGAGGGCTTGGCAGCTCAAAAATAGCCTCAGGCACCAGCTTCTTTCTCCTTTTTTTCCCTGCTGTCTTTAGGTTTAATTACTCTTTGGCCTCATGCTTGTTACCTCATAGTCACAACGTAGCTGCTGTGCCTCCAGGCATCACGTCTGCAATTAAGGAAAGACTGTGGAACAACAAATGCTTTGCCATAGAGTAGTCCTATTTTTAAAAAAAATCAATGTTATTTAGTTATAAATAACTAAATTTAAAAATAAACATATATTAAAGTGTACCTATTTTAAATGTTCTTTGAGTTTTGAAAAATGTGTAGACTATCATCTTACTCAAGACCCAGAATATTTCCATCACCCCAAAAGTTCCCTCACGTTCCTTTGTGGTCAACTCCCGCCCACCCCTAGCCCCAGGAAACCTTTTGTTATACTTTCTGTCACTAAGATTAGTTTTGCCTGTACTGGAATTTCATATAAATAGAATCACACAATATTTACTCTTTTGTGTCTGGCTTCCTTCACTCGGGAAAATATTTTTGATATTTATACATATTGTGTATGTCAATAGTTTATTCCTTTTTATTTATCAATAGTTTATTCCTATTTATAGTTTATTCCTTTTTATTGCTGAGTCATAGTCCATGTATAAATATACCATCATTTGTTTACTTGTTCACCTGTTGATGGTTATGTGGGTTGGGCTGTCTATAGTTTGGGGGCTATTATAAACACAACTACTAGAAATAGTTTTGTATGGACATGTTTTCACTTACCTTGGGTAGATACCTAGGAACAGAATTGCTGGGTCATGTGATTATATATCTATATCTGTATCAGTGCTTATACCTGCACCTGCATTTCTCTCTCACTCTTTTTTTTTTTTCCTGAGAGAGAGAGAGAGAGAGTGCATGCATGAGAGCTGGGAGTGGGGGCGGGGAGGGGCAGGGGGAGAGAGAGAATCCTAAGCAGTCTTCATACCGAGCTCAGAGCCCATCGCGGGGCTCAGTCTCACAACCCTGAGATCATGACCTGAGCCGGATCAAGAGTCAAGCACTTAACCAACTGAGCCACTCAGGCGCCCCCGTATTTCTATGTCACACACACACACACACGCACGCACACACACACATGCACGCTCCTGGTTCCTGATTTCCTATATTATTCACTTGGTTATAATCTATCACCATCATTGTTTATTTGATGCTCAAATAGTCCTTGATTTGGCCAGTGGGAGCCCCCCCTCAGGCTGGTTTCTATGTTCTTTTGAAATCTTTCTTTCTGTGAGCTCTTCTTTACTTTTTGTCACTGTTGCATAGTCCCAGGTGGTTATTAGTATCACTTCATAACCACCAAATACTATACACATTCTCCCGTATTTATTTTAAAAAATGAAAAGTTTCAAAAGTCCAAAGAACCTCAAAAATGTTGTTCCCTTTTACACCTAAAAAAATTGGGGGGAATCTCGCCTTCCCCCTTCCCCCAGCTTTTTTGGGCATGAAATATATACTTAGATCTCTGGCTGGGGCTTTGGAAGGACTGGTGCCAGGCACTTAGGTAGGCACTGGGTTCCAGAGATAGATCCGCCTAGTCCCTGCCCCCAGGCAGTTCCTAGTCTAGATGGGAAGACCAAACCTGTATAGTGCTTTTCACCTCATCAAGTGCTTTCCCATATATGATCTCATTTTAATTCACAGTGCGTGAATTAGAACACTGGGTGGCTCGGTCGGTTAGGTGTCCGACTCTTGGTTTGGGCTCAGGTCATGGTCTTGGGGTCCTGGGATTGAGTCCCGTGCTGGGATCTGTGCTCAGTGGGAAGTCAGCTTGAGGATTCTCTCCCTTTTCTTCTGCCCCTCCTCCTGCTTGCTCAGTCTCTCTCTCTCTCTCAAAAATAAAATAAATAAATTCTAAAAAAAGAAAAAGGTGTCATTCATGTTTGGGTCCACTGGACCTAGTTCAAAGCTTGGTACACAGTAGGTGCTCAATAAATGTCAATTCCTCCTCCCTTTCTCCTAGTACACACACAGGCACGTTCGTTTGCTCTATAAATATTTAAGTTAATGAATGTTCCTTTACACTTGCCTTGGGGCTTTCGGTTTTGTTTCCAGGTGAGAGAAAGAAAAAAATGTGAACTGCTTTCCATTTCTTGGATACATGCACTGTATAAATGTGGGATTATTATTATTGTGGATTACTGAAATACTTTGCTTTATGACTTTCATTTTAATTAGAAGAGGTTGACCTCAGATGGCTTAATACCCAGTCTTTGGTTCTTTTTTTTTTTTTTTTTTTTAAAGACTTTATTTATTTGAGACAGAGAGAATGAGAGACAGAGAGCATGAGAGGGAGGAGGGTCAGAGGGAGAAGCAGACTCCCTGCCGAGCAGGGAGCCCGATGCGGGACTCGATCCCGGGACTCCAGGATCATGACCCGAGCCGAAGGCAGTCGCCTAACCAACTGAGCCACCCAGGCGCCCCCAGTCTTTGGTTTTGAAGGGAGCAATATGACATTGGCAGAGCCAGCACTGGATGATCTAAGAGTAATTTTTCTCCTGATCCTGTGACTTGATGCAATAAAACCTCTTACCTGAAAAAACTTAGAGAAATACATTTGACATATTTCAAATCCTTTCTATAAATTGTTGAAAAGATTTAATATAACTGCTAGTCATAAAATCTTTAATTTGAGTTGACCTTCCACGGTCACAATTCTTACACATGCAGTTTTTATTACTAAAGAATAAATGGTGGATTTCCTGTTATTCGAGGGAATAAAAATGTCCTTCAATCACCTTCTCCTACAGCACAGAGACTGAATGTATTTAGGTCAACTCTCAAAGATAGGAATGATCGCAAAATGGTTTGTAACCTGCAAATGTTCTCTTCTCTATTATTGCAGGCATCCCTCCTCCTTCTTCTCCTTCTTCTTCTTCCTATTATTTTATTTTACTTTTTATTTTTTTTTAAATAGGCTCCACAC